TTGTGTGTCCAGGTGCTTAGAATCCCAATGGATCTTTCTTCCTTTTGGTCTCTTAGCCTGTCCACTACCCACTCTGGGGTCCAAACTTCTTTTCTTTCTAGGTTTTTTAGAGGGGTTTCTGACCTCTCTTCTACAGTTTTTGCTGTGTTTTCCTCCGTAGAGTTCGCCGCATCGGGTGTAAGAATTCTAACATCCGCCGTCAATGCTGCACTTTTTAGTGATTTGCCCACCGTCAAAACTGCGGATGTCTTATCACTATGCGCTGCTCTTGCTGCGGTTGTGTTTGCATCTCTTTTGTTTCTGATTTCCTTTTTTGTCTGTGTGTTAATAATTTTATTGTCATCCGCGCTAAAGCAGCAGCTTAACAATTCAGGGTTACATGTATCTACAGTCAAAGGAAGAAATTGGTTTGAAACATCTTTTTTAGGCACAGTCGGTTGATGCGGTACCGCTGGCCTTTTTAAAAACCCTCTAGGAGTTTTTCTCTTTCCTCTTTCATCATCTTCTCTAAGAATTCGCGGACATTGAACTGTGGCTTCTTTTTTTGTGCGTCTTTGCACTTGAAGCTTCTATGTCCCTTCTCTCCGCATCGGTAGCATTGTCCTTCCGTGCGGAACTTTGCTTTGTCTACTTCCATTTTTTCTCCGTTACCGGTATAAGTATAACCGGTTCCGTCTCTCTTCTTTTCTCCTTCTTTCTTTTGTTCCGAATTGGTTCTTTTTCCAATCTCGGAACCTTTTTTTTTCCTTTTCTCTTTCTCTCCAAATATAGTCCATTCGGATGAGTTCTCTTTTCCATTCCTGATAGTCTCTAGGAATGTGTCCACCGTAGATCACCCTGTCTACTAGTGGTTTGTTCATGTTTCTTCTTAGTAATGAAACTAAGAATTCTTCGTTCATTCTGTTTGTGTATCCCGCCCATCTTTTCTTTTCTTCAAACCTTTCAAAAAAGGCTTGGGCGGTTTCATTGCCCTGTTTCAGGGTCAATATTTCGTTCTTGGCAGTCTTTTTTTCAAAACTGTCCTTGAACCTTTCTTCCATCTTGTCAGCAAAGTACAGCCAACTTCCATATGTATGTGTAATGTCAAGCACTAATTGTTGGGCGTCAACTCTGTTTTCTAGCCAGTCGGTCCGGAAGGCCGCGGCTTCTCCATCTTTCATAAAGGACAGCACGAAGCTTATCTTTTTTCTGTTGTCTTTAAAATAGATAGTGTCATCTTCGAAGTGTAGAAGTAGGGACTCTCTAAAGGCCCGGTACTTCTTCTTGTCTCCTGAGAAGTTCTCTGGCTTCTCTAGGGCTGTCCTACTTCTTTCCACCTTTTCTGGAGGTGGCGCTGTTGTCTTTTTTAGTCTTTTTTCTAAGACGCTCACTTCTTCGAGTGCCTCATCTAGCTGGGATTGATATAGCATTCACATTTCCCTGATCGCGTTTTCTACTTCTTGTTTTACGAATGCTTCTAATGATACTTCTTTCGGCGGGGGAGTGTCTATTCGGGGCAATGAGTCCATCATTTCCCGAGTAAACGCACTGTCCGTGCTGTTGGATGGCTCTGGCCAATCTCGATATTCTAGATTGGACATTTCTGAATTTGAGTTGTGGTGGTGGGGGAGTTTTGGATTTGATTATGGGGGAGGGGTTTCTGATTGGTGTGATTTCTGGTAGAGGGAATTGTCCTCTGAAAACATAGTCTCTGGAATAAATGTGTTGTTCTCCTATCCAGATATAAAATTCTCTACTGAGCATAGAAAGGAGTTCCCCAGTGATAAGCTGGATCTATACACCACTTTCTAAGATCTCGGTAGTCTATCTTTTTCTCTTTGAGTCAAGGTGATCCTCTTCCATTCACCACTGACTATGTAGGTACTGTAACTATTTTTGTATTTTTACGAATTTTTTATGTAAAAGCTATCGTGATAAGACTGGGTCCAAACGGTTGTCCAGTTATAACCAGCTTATTAAGCTCTCGGTTCTTCTCCCGACTGGCGGACGCAAGTGTGCGGCCTGGTCAGAGGAAAGCGAAATTGAAACTAAGTAAAAACGAGATAATTCCTATGGTTCCACACCAAAGGAATTATATTGATATAATTGTAGCTAAAGGGGGATGGTGACGAAGGAGTCTTGGGAGGAGGAGGGGGAGACGTTTGCTGGAAAAAATGATACGATAGCGTTGGGGCGAGTGGGAATGTTGTTTAGTGGAATGATGGGTTGAGTGTGAGGTTTGTAAAGGAGTTTGAGTAAGGTGAGGATAATGATGATAAGGATAATGATGGTTAGGATAGCTGCTGTTACGTTCATAGACGGTACTCGTTACAGTTTTTGATTGTGTAAGATTCCTATCCCCTATACCGAGTTAATGGAGGGACAAGTCTCAAAGATCAACAAGTAGCGTCAAGTACTGGATTAAGAAGTAATCAACAACTGAAGAAAGTATGTACATGAGTGCTGGTATATATACATTTCTGAAGGTCAGCCATGAGGTGCTGACTGATGCGACATGCAGTAGCCATGAGGCGCTTACGGATGTCTTACGTTATAGTCTAGGCTTTATCACGTGACTAACTACTGATTTTGTGTCTTGTCTCATGTTTGTCACGTGATCAGATATAAAAGAAAAATGAAAGAAAAATGAAAAATGAAACTAGTGCTCTGACTCAAGTCGTGACAATTATGATTGATAGAATCTTGTTGTTGTGAAGATCCAACTCTTTTTACCGAACAAATGGAGAGTCAGAGGTTCTAATTGCAAGCAAGGGTCTATCACAGTGAATAAAGATGTAATCAACAGCTAGAGAAAATATGTACAAGAGGTAGCTGTATATATACTACAGAACATGTATTAGCAATGAGGTGCTGACTGAGTGTCATATGTAAGGTATGAGGCTTGTAATTGTCTTTGTAAGTAGCTATGTCATAGGTCACATGATTGATCACATGACTATGATTAGATAAGATTTGGAGAGATAATAGATATGATGGATTCGTTATCAGTTAAGATAGGGGTGTCAGAAGTAAGGGATTGTAACAATTGTGTAGTCACGTGGCTGCCACAGCTTGGGAATGTTCGAGTAGCCACCATGTTCAAACTATCATCCCTCTAACTAGGTAGTCATCATTTTGCCATGTCCGATATGTCCACTTACTTGAATTTCCTGAGCAAGTTCAACTTTGTGTCAGTAGTAACAAGGGTGAAATCCGATCTGACCAACATTGAGATTTTGAGGGATTCCGGGAAGCAGCAGGCAAGTGATATCTTAACCGCCATATTTCATAGCCAATAATAGGTTGATACTTAACATTATGGTCTAATGTTTTATGGTCATCTGCAAGATGTTCCAGGCATACACAGCTCTGCAGAGCACACACAAATTTTGGCACAAATAGTGGAAGTCATCAATTTTTTATTGGCATCAGGAGTGCAAATGCCTACAATGTCTCTGCAGAAGAAATTGCCATTCCAGGCAGCAGCTCAGGCCGTGGTATGGTAAGTGAATCACACAATACAATCATTGTCATGATAATGATGGATATCTAGGATCCCAAAACCAATGCTGCAGAGTCCAAGGCGGAGGACAACAATGTTTTACTTGTTCCAATAGTGTGTATTGACATTGCTCAAAAAAGTGAGAATTGCACGATACATCAGGAAAAACCCTTTTGCTATATAGTGCTATATAGCCACCACCTATATATATTAATGCATTCATAGAAACTATAGTACTATCAGTGCAATCAGAGCTCTTATAGCTCTTATCACATAGTAGTAGGCAAAAATTTAACCAAGGGGAGAAATATCTATATTTCCCTCAAACTTTGGATTAATCTAATAAACTTGTTCAACAATAGAAAGAGGCCAGAAGTGTTTGGAGTCAAGTATATTAATATAGACAAGATACTATAAGTGCTCTTATAGCCTATGTGTCATGATCCTATTCTACTCACACTGATATCTTTTCAATTGAACATCTTATCTCCCCTTATCTAATCACTTGATCTTATCTAATTTACTCATCTTATCTCATCACGTGGCCTAAGTCACATGATCACTTACCAAGCACCATGCTGCAACCTCATGTATATCAGTCAGCGCCTCAAGGCCGACACATGTCTGTATGTATATAAGTAGTTACCATTGCATGTACATACTCTAGCTTTTGATTTTGTCTAAATGCCTTTGTCTTGATAACCACTTGCTTAAGATTGACATCTTCTACCTCTGTTAACTTGTTAACTCAGTAAAGGGTAGAGGGTTGTTATACTATGGCAGCCTACATAGCTCCTATAGCTGGTCATAGTAGTAATATAGTTCAAGCTGCTTAAAAGGGCTAATAAATCATACAGCATTAATCAATTATGTAGTCTGTATTAGTGAAATAGTAGTTTGTATCTTTGATATTTATAAAAATAAGAATAGTGATTTACCCAAGTATAAGTGGTGACAATGAGTAACAAAATAACCTAAGTCCGGCGGGACTACTACGCTAGGAATCTCGAAGCGCGCTCATCTCAGAATACAAACTCATCCGAGTCTTTTCGACTGCCATCCTTGAGGATCAACACAACCATCACAACAATCCGTCTCCTGATGTTCCTAGGCCATACTCGACTCAATTGCCTCAAGACATTGATTTCGTCACAGACCCAGTCACCCAGACAATGCAGAGCTTCAGTTTGAACAACGAAGACTTCTCCACGAATTTACAAGACGAGCCCTCAACCTTATGAGGCAACTACAGCGACAGCAACCACAGCTCAGCACAGCCTGCTGGTGGATCAGACAGCTCAGACAGCGGCATCGTCCACGACCCCCATTTGCAAGTCGGGCACATAACTGAGAAACTACGAACACGACTATCCGCACCTTCTGCGAAGATCCCGCTTTCGCAACGCGTGCGTCAGGACGTACGTACATCAAAACGTTTGCTATACGTTTGTGATAACATACGGTGTCTTCGATTTTTCCAGATGAAATAGCTTTTCTTTCGCTCTCCTCGATCTTTTTGCATCGCTGTTCGTATCAAATGATTAATAGCTCAATCTATAAATGAATCACTGAATAGAAAAACAATACAAAACGCCAGTTGTTACCAATACAGCCAAATCACGTCTGAGATCTGAGAAACGGAACCGAAATATATGCTAAAACCTACACAAGTCACTTCACGTTTGATCGGATACACTACCCAATACACCCATTGCCCAAACCTTGTCTCCGGCCAGTTTCTCTGCAAAGAAATCACCAAACACTTCTTTCATCTGAGCATAAACAGCAGCATCGGCGTCGGCAGAGGTGTCCAAAGATTCTGGCATGTCAGAAGGGGGTTGCAACACATGGAGTGCGTCCTAGCATACATATGCGTTCGGGATCAGAATTCCAGAATGCATAAAAACTAAGTCCACTAACCATTACAGCATTGACGAGTGAACTCGACTCTCCCGGCGTACAATCACTGCCTACAACCCTGATACCACCGCCTTCGACAAGTCCTTTCCGCACAGCTTCTTTCCCGATACCGATGAGCCCCCGAATGGCACCTTCCCGCGTATTTTTGCTTTTGTCGGGTGATATAAGCGCAAGAAGCAGCGTTTTCATGATTCGGGGGGAGAGTGAGGGATATGTCGTTGAATGCTGAGTGAGGAGTCGAGAGAGTGTCTGTGATGCCATGGTTCGGAGGAGGGTCGCGTATGATGGGGGAAGGAAAGAATGCAAGAGGGTTGAAAGTATTGGAGGAAGTATTTGGTGTAGCTGGAGAACAAGATGATTTAAAAGGTACTGAATTGTAAAGAACTGCAAACTCACGTAGGGTTCTATAAACAGTGCGCTGTTCTCTAGGATCGCACTTACGACGTGCAGCATCACCTCTAGTACCTTACCGTCGTTATCACTATCAGAACTGTCTTTGAGAGCATTCACCACACTCTCTCCAACCCAGCGTATAAGATATGGCAACAATGCTTGAAGTCCAGCATCGTGTCTCAAGCTGGCCAGAGCAGCGGTTCTCTTAGCAAAATCGGAAGGTGGCAATAAGGACGTTGTAAGACGCGTGTAGTATAGCTGCAATTCTCGCGACAAGACCTGTTTAACAAGCTGTTGCTGTTGTTGCTGTTGCTGCTGTTGTTTTTTATTGGTAGATCGGTCGGAAGGCGGCGTTGGAGGAAAGCCTGTGTTGGATATAGGCGGTGACTTTGTGACTTCTTGCTGGTCCGTATCCCTTGGAATAGCAGGTGGGTTCTCGGGTATGAGGGGCTGAACACCTTCGACTGCAAGCCAGTGTGCTGTCCAGTTAACACCTTTTGGGACTGTTATTTTCTCCTCTCTTAGGACACGGTCAAAGTCTATTTCCTCATCTTCGACAAAGTAGACGGGGCCTACAGTTGGGAGTTGGGGAAAAGGAAGTGCACGGCGGAATGCAGGGGGGTTGAATGAGTTGTGTCCGTATAGAGGCTCGATATTAAGGACTCGCAGCGCTTGATCTATGTCTGAGGTGGTCATCGTTGTTCGTCTGCCGTGCCGCATGAAACGCGAGGCTTCCTGTGATAAAATACCACACATTTGACATTTTTTCACACAGAATAACACAATAGATAGTACGCACCTCGATAACCTGGTGCATTCTGTACTCGACATCGGCGGCAAGAGAGGAGGCGACGGTGTCTGAGAGGTTGGAGATGCCTAGCGATTCGGCTACGTCCTGGACAGAGAGGTAAGTGGAAGAGGGTTGGAAAGGTGTAAATGTTGTACTTTGACTGATTCTGGGTTGTAAATGCCCGTCTGAGATGCTTGTGCACTCTTACCCTTTGGTTTGCTCATCGTTGAGGACGTTGTGCAGCATAAGTTGACATGATAGTACTTGAGGTGGTGGGCTGTGGGAATATATCACCATATATATTGTCCTACAATCTGTAACTCATGCTGTTGACAATTCTTACCATGATGAACCGGGGCAAAATACTTAAAGAACATTCGCCATTCGCCTTGTTCTATATCGTCTTTACATCCTTGCAATCCGATATCACAACCTAACATACCCCCTCATGTGCTAGACATGCTCTGGACCAACAATATCCACTACGTCTAGCCAGTTCGAGCCTTGGAGATGGTACATGTGCTCCATTGCATGAATTGCCCTACGTGATGCTGAAGGCAGAATAAATATCTTATCTTCGTCACCATCCCATCAAACCATGTACTGCCCACTCATACACACCCAGGAAAACAGCGCCTCCAGCCGATATCCACATTGTACGCGGAACAACACCCGCAAAGAGAGCATTCACACCCTCGTTGACATAGATTTGTCGAAACCTTGACGCCACACTTGGAAGACGTTGTGATGGATCCTTTTACCAATATCAAGGGGTATGTATGCGTGATTGAAATTAAAGAAGGGATACGTACCCGAAGATCAAGCATGACTCTAGTCTTAAGAACGTCGAGAGGGGTTGTGAGCGCCGCCGCCGTTCCTCCTGCTATACTACCACAGACGGCAGCTTCATGCGCGTATAATGGTTTTCTACCAAGGCGATGCGAGAGCTGAAGCTTGAGCAGTTCATATAACGGGAATTGCAACGAGGTAAAAGGAATCTAGGTTCAAAGTTTAACTTCCAGATACGAATTACCATTCGATTTAACGGGGACGAACCTCTCTCATGATGGTAGTTCCAAAACCTCTGTAGTATCCTCGCCAGCCGTCGTGTTTCCAGACAAGCTTCGCAGCTGCAAGTGAGGAGGAAGCGAGAGGACCGTACGTGGATGTTTGGGTGCGAGTCTTGATGACCTCTGTAGGTACGCGTATCAGACATGCTGCCTGAAAATGGGTGTAATCAAGACAGTGCGAGAAGAGAATGCTGAGCTAGCGTACTACTTCTGCCATTGATGCAGAGATCATATGGTTGACGGGTGCGAGATGGCCATGTAATGGTAAAGCGTGTTTCATCGTCTCATACGTCGAGAAGAAAGCAGCCGCTGTTACCGTTCTAAAGGCATTAGCGATGATCGGGCTATATCATTGGCACAAATACGAAAACTCACCGCCAGGAGCACTCCCGACTACCACGCTCCCAATACCTTTGTACACCCCTCGAAACCCGCCTGCTTTTGCAAAGCCTTGAGAAGATTGCAGCCGTGTCTTTATGGTATCAATAGGGAAAAAGAGGAGGTCTACAGATGTCCCAGCGACTCCACCAGCCTAAGAGAAAGTCAAAAGTTGATGGAAACGTCTCCGGGTCCAGTGTCAGAAAAATGTCGCGCACAGCAAGAGATTGGAAGAACGTTGGCTTATGTCCTTTCTCCATCGAACTGAACTGGACTTCCTTCTCGCCGACTATAAGAATATGTGTGACAGAAACAGAGTGTAGATAGCCCCCTTCGTGCTAAATAGATAAGCTGCGAATGTTCACGCTTTATACAAAGCACACTTGTCGGGCGAGACTCCCGAATGACCAACGCTCGCTGCTGAGAGATTCTAAAAAGCTCAGATAGTGGAAGACAAGTCCGATACTTCGCTTATAACGTTTTCGTAAGGTCTTTGGTTTGGTAACTTTGGTGCCGCAAGTTCGAGAAATTCACTGAAAGCATCATACATGTGAAAGCTTATACATTCTCCTCACAATGGACGGTATACGAGCCTAGTCAACTTTTATCGTCGCAGTGCAATGTCAAATTCATGGTCGGCATAGCCGATGGCCATGGCGCGAGCCTGAGCCAGCTTTTCCGTGACTCGTACTCCCATCTTCATTACAGTCACTTAAAGTCAGCTACAAGCTTACAAAAAGGCGAACATATCACGTCAAAACATAAACGTACGGGGATCAACACTTCAAGGCAACACCCAAATCTCAATAATCGTGAAAGCCGATGGATGATGATCTAGAAAAACCCAGTGTTTTATCGAATGTTCCTGCAATCCAGCGTTCTGACGAAGAGGACCAGTCGTCAGGAGACGAGGATGGTGGTCTGGACTGGACGAAATTACCGTCGTGGGTATCTGTTTCATCTCCAGTGCATTAGTTCTAAATGGACATACAGTAGCACCAGTACTGCACGTCCAGTAATTCCAAAACGAGGAGAAAAGGATTTCGAGCCTACATCCGCTGGTGGGTCAGGCCTTCAACTGCATGTTTTGGATCGGTCTAGGAACGCCATGTTCGGTGCTCTCAGAGCCACCCGAACCATTGCAAAGTGCGTCGATATGTAACTCGTGCTAAAAGTTCGACATCCTGACTACTGTCACCATACGCGCAGCAAGTCAATCAGCTACGCTGTGTGGTATCCCGATATTGCGAGAGCACACGTTACAGTAGCGCGAGGTATTCATTTCACAGCAATGGGACACTCTGTTGCGCGACAGAATGCTGCAGAAGACGGTAGCTCAAAGTTGCAAAAAAGGCTCGAGCTACTTCCAGAAGAGGCACTCTATCTGGTCGAGAGGGGAGCTATGCTTTGTTTCAAACAAACTCAGGCAGATATAACTGGGATGGATGATATCGAGGGTGCACCTATGAGCGTACAACAAGCCTTTGCCGAGATGATTGGCCAAGAAGACCTTTCGTTGGAAAAATACCAGGTACTTTCATCAAAAAATCACAGGCAGCTATTGTCATTTGCTCACATCCTACTCATTCAAATCAGGTCTTTGCCTATTTTCGGCGTCTGGGCTATGTTGTCACTCGGTCAGAACCCCCTACGTCTGCCTATCCGGCCCCCCCGCCTCTTCAAGTCCAGAAAGCAGTTTCTCCCTCTGTCTTTCAAAGACTTTACTCTCTTTTCCCATTGTTTATATCGAGATTCTCACGAATTTGGAGAAGATCGTTTGATTGGTGGAGGCCACTTGGCCTCGGCCGATGGATATATTACGACATGAAATACGGTAGTGGATCCATTATATTCAATTGAGACTGGCTATCAGTACTGAATCCTATCTTTTAGCGACAATTTTCCGCTCTCTGCGCTTCATACCGTCAGGTCACTCCGTCCCGCCAAAATCTACTGAACCTAGACCCGTAACCAAATCCTCGCCATACAAGATTTTTTACAACATCTACAAGCCTTCAACATCTTTCCGCAAGACGGCACCGCCACCTCCCGATTTTTTCGTTGTGGTAGTAGAGTACGCCTGATTCAATCATTGGAACATCCGCTACTTTTACTGATCGTCGTCATCTACAGCGCTCGGTCTACTGTGATGCCTTCTCTGCATGAGTTGACGGCGTTGTTCGATGTCCTCCCCGAGACGCCTCCTCCATTACCCCGACAAAGGGGCGTGCCTTCTGCTAAACCGCCAAACATCAATGCTCCAGCGTCCAATTCTCCCTTGGCTCCTACTCTCCAGCCTCCGTCGTTATCCCTGCGACGAATGTTCCGATGGATGTTGCCATCCACACCAGCACCTCCATCAGTCAGTACCCAACAGCAAAAGCCAAATCCCTTCGCAGCTCTGAAAGCTGGAAAAAGGAGCGCGGTTATAGCAGCTGTAGACGCTGGTAACATCAGTTTCTTCCGATTCAGCCAAGGCGCATTCGAGGAATGGCCTATGATCTGAGTTTCTCGTATCTTGTTGCGTTCAGTCACACAGTCAGACACGATACGTGTATAGCTTACTAAACTTATTTTCTGATGTACAAAAAAAAAACTGTTCTACTAAATCATCATTTCCCTTCGCTGAAATTCTTTCCAATATGGCTGCAGTTTCGTTGCAGCTTCAATAGGTAAACACTGCTCAAACACTGCTCAACCAGTCCAGACAGCCTAGAGGAAGTGAAGGTGTCAGTTTCCAATATTCACGTAAAGTACCTGCAACTTACGGGACCGGGTTGAGTGTAGTTGGCGGGCTGTTACAGAATGGTTCAGCGGAAGAACTGGAAAACTCTTTGGGGTGACTTACGATGGGACTATAGATATCTGAGTTTCGCAGAATACGAGTTGAAACATTTTAAAGTGAGATAAAACGAGAAAATGGCTCACTAATGAGGATTCCAGGCTCGTACCCAGTGTAAACACCAGGGATGGAGACGAGAGGTCCGGGAGTTCCATTCCCACCGTTCTGGACGTTGATCTGTGCGCAGGAGAGATAAAACTGGGCACCGCCGTAGCTTTCTGCGACCTGGGACATTTGTTCAGCCTCCTACCAGAGTAGAACGAAGCGATAGGCTGAACGCTTACGTGGAGGGCAATATCTTCAGCGCGGACAAAGTACTGTCCGTCGGGAATGGACGCTGGCAGAGTGAATGTGACCTGGCTCATGCCTGCAGCACGTAGTAAATTTCGGTATATACTTGGACAGCGTAGTTAGGCTATGTCTGAACGTACCGACCGAGGGCCAGGAGATGGAAGTGCCACCATTGGTAATGGCGGTGACCTCGTGAACCTTGAACCAGACTGCGCCAGAGCCATCCCATGCTGAGACGTTTGCTGGAGCTTTGGCCATGTAGACTTTCAAGAAAAGAACCAGGTTAGCGGGGGGTTTTGGATGGATAATCGAATATTTACTATTGACGACACCAGGGTGGTAGATGGCTTGATCAAGAGCCAGTCCCACCTAAAAGTATACTCATCAGGGTGCCATATTTGAAGTTTGATGCTGGTGACGCCTACAACTGAACCAGCGGAGACGGTATAGGTTGAGGTTGTTGCTCCGGATGCGAGTCCACCAACATTGCAGCGTAGGTCGGTAGAAGTCACGTCTGTCACCTAAATATATAAACCATGATATACGTGCTTTAGATAAGAAAGAAAGCCAGGACGTACAGGAGAGTTGTCATTCGTGTTTTGGCGGACATATTCGTAGGCAGTGGTGATGGTGGATCCTACCACAAGCGATGTCCAGCGGTCTAGACACAACTCAACGATGAGTTGTTTTATTTGCTTGAGTGCTGTACTCACAATGAGCTGAGACTGAGGGCAGAAGTACCGCAGCGATTGAAAGAAGGGTAATGCTCTTCATTGGGATTTGATTTTACTTGTCAAACGTCTGCTGCCTCTATATATGCATTCCCGTTTCAAGCTTACCTGAAATAAGAATATATCAAAATCTAGCCCTGATGACCTTAATGACTTCTCAAGGAGTATTACCGGTAGATGAAGGGAACTAGGAGGCAAGAGGGAAGGTATTTGTCGTATACGACCGGAGGTATGTGCCGTCAAGAACATCTAACCTCGGAAATCATGTGGACTGACTGACAGTGACTGTGTGTAAAGCCATCATGAAGTCGAGCCGGGAAACTACCGTTGGAATGGGCGGACAAATGCGTCTCCTTGATTTTTCATAGAATAAATCCGAAGGATAACCGTCGATTCCGAGGAGAGCGAATTGCTATAGTACATACAGTGACAATGGAAGAGACGTTGGACATCCTAAAAGGGAGATAACTTCAGCCGACAAGCTTTCAATGTCGGTGATGGTAAGTTTTCGGAAAAGAGACAGCCTCTACGCTTGCTGAGATTTCACCGATGAGGCTAAGAACGTTTTGAAAGGAAAGTGGGATATCTCTAGGAGTATAACTAGTGGTGATACAGTAAGTGACAGCATGCCTCGCACCAGTTTAGCTGTATACGTGCAAGCAAATTGACTTTTGTACGATACGTTCCAACATTCCTGCCATACCATATTGTGATATGAGGGTTGGGCTTTGGGTCCCTAATCCTTGTGGTTCCTGATGAACTACGTTGTCATGCTTTACCAAGTATGTAGGTTTGCCTTTGTCCACTCTCTAATCATCGACGAGGTGAACTTTACGTGGTATACAAGGGGCAGGGGTGAACACAATTTCCGATGGATGATGATTGATGGTATTATTGTTGAAAAGCATAAAGTTAGCCACGAATATAAATGTCAGGAACGAAGATTTGCGCCAAAATTGGATCAAAAAAAGTAACGCTAGTGGCACGTGGCCGTGTACTCTTATCCTTGTCCCCTCAAGTTGGCTGTCCAACGCAGCACTTTCCATCTTTGCAATACACCAGCCACAGCTCAAAGGACATACGGCCGCTGCTCTAACATTGCGAGCTTTAACCTACAACATTATATAGGCTCACGTCTTCCAAATGGCCCCAAACCTCAAGCAAAGGCTCGCTGCACTTTCGTTGGCTCCCTCCTCTCCGACTTCGCCTTTCGGTTCACCTCTTAACTCACCCGGAGGAAGGAGAAAAGCAATATTCAACCCACCCTGGATGAGGAGGAATAGCCATGATGCTGCAAATGATGAGCCAGTGACTCATGAACGGATGCAGGACGTCATGTCCAAAGTAATATTCCAGGCCGGTGTAGACTTTGAGTCAGTCCCTATTCTTCGTCCTCTGTAGTTCTCATAAACCTAAGTTATTCTCCTTCTTACAGAACAAGACCGATGTGCGTACTCACGAATACAGTCTAACCTTGAATGTAAACGAGCCGGTATTTGTTGTCTAGGGTTGTCCTTAATGCATCCGCGCTCCCAGACCCTCGTGAGGTCTCCTACGATTTATTACTATCGTGCGTTCTCACAAGATTCGTCAGAGAGTGGTATTGTTAACTCATCATGACAGACGAATACTCTCATATTTAGACTTGTATGGTACGTCCTAAATAACGATCTGATATATACCCTCGGTCAACAACGCATTAACTCTCAACAGTCGAATCCGACTATACGGTTGTCTTTTTCGCTGCCGGTGGGCGTCATGCGCCCGGCTGGAATTGGGTTTGGAAAGCATATCGAAGTCTTAGTCGAAAGTATCGCAAGAATCTCAAACGTTTGGTACGTAAGGAGATAGTCTGCTCCTATTCCGAAATTAAATTTCTTTATAGTATATAGTACATTCGTCTTTCTTCTCGAAGAGTACGTGCGATGAGACCCGTCTCTTTACTTAATTACTCACGACTTCTCTAGTGTTATTCTCTCTGGCTGGAGCCATCATCAGGTTTGTCAGATTCTTAATATAAGCGCACCACTCCTAATAAATCTTAGTCCAAAATTTTTCCGCAAAATAATATATATCAATACCCTTTCTGAATTAGCGTGTCACGTTCCTCTGACCCAAATCGACATATCGCCACCAGTATATCAGTATGTCGAAACATTCACCGTTGAAACCCGTTACTTATTAGCATTAAAGGGAGAATTTAAAGCACGAAAGGCAGATCAACCTCCCGACTCCAAGTCGTGCGAGCATTTTCGGGGTGCCTTTGGAGGATCTAATGGGCTTCGATGGAGAAAAGGGAAGTGTCCCACGAGTAGTGAAAGATTGCATTCAGTTCCTGCGTGATACAGGTGAGCTCACATACTTTTTTGCTGTTGTGATGTAGGTATTTACGTTCGAGGGACATCAGGCATGCAGGAAGAAGGTTTATTCCGGCGATCACCTAGTTCAGCGTTATTGAAGCAAGTCCAAGATGCTTACGATAGAGGTTTGTGCAAATTAGTGTTAAGGACTGTTAGTAACTGATCAGGGAGTTTAGGTCAAGTGGTATCTCTTCAAACATTCAATGACCCACATCTTGCAGCAGTATTGCTGAAGAAGTATCTACGGGACCTTCCGGAGCCTCTATTTCCCGAAAAACTTTATCCAGAAATACGACGTTGTCCTTGTCCAACAGATGACCCCGGTGATTTGGCAAGCGTGGCATACGTTCGTGAATCGCTGTTGCCCCTGCTGTCACCGTGTGTGTACATTTTGTTGAGTCACATTCTACGTGAGTATCTATCCACCCAGTGTCTTTCATATCTCATGAGCGGATATCGGTTCTAGATTTGATGCACGATGTATCATTGCGAGTGTCAGTCAATCGGATGGACGCACACAATCTAGCAGTCGTCTTGTGTCCCAACCTCGTTGCAAGCCCCAACCCTGCAAAGGATGTACTGATGTGCACCGTCCCTGGTGCGCCTACCTTGTATCAAACCCAATCTTCATCGTCTTCCACTTTAACCGGGTCGTCCTCATCTGCATCCAACTCAGTGGAGGGTAAGAATACGTTGGGTGCCGTGATCAAGTTGTGCATTAAACGTTACTATGAGATTTTTGACGAAGTTCAGGACCGTGCGGAGGCTGTACGGCCGACTGTTAGCGCTTCAGCCTCCCCATCACCTTCCCCCTCCCCTTCCCCTCCTGCGTCGTCTGCATCCTCAGTCTCGTGGACGAAGCAGAACCAACGTATCAGTTTGAATGGTGACGATGAAGACATTGACGATGCGATGTTGGTGATGCCCATTGGGCCTAGTGGCAACGGTGCTGCTTCGATGGCTTCGAACGGGAGATCATCATCTACACCACGCGCATGGGCATCATCTACTACGAGCGTAGGCGAAACTGGGAGCGCTGTTCCATACAAGCCACGGCAGCGCAAGTCTCCTGCTAACGGCTCACGCTCTGTGTATACATATACAGATGGTGGCGCTGGCGGGAATGTGTTTGGCACGCGAGCGAAGACGAGGTCGGTGATTAGTATTGAGCGGGCTGCGATCGGGAATGGGAGGGGTTCGATATCTGTTGGGAGGGGTACGATGAGGAAGAGTGGGGGGTCTGGAGTGGAGGCGGTTGGTGTCACTGCTTCTGGCTTTTTCACTCCGCCAGGGTCTGCGCCTCCTGTACCATCTCTTACTGGGCGAAGCGGGTGAGGGCTCCAGGAGTCTTCGAGAAAGCGAAGAGGAGGTGGGCTGGACCCAATGGGAGTTATACGTCCAGGGATATTCGTTGCCGTTTGAATTCGTTATTTAGTTACCTGAGAAGGGCCTTCAAGTTTACGACAAGTATTTATGCTCGTGTCGTGGTTAATTTATAATTCGCTAACATTCTACGATAGTGGTTGGGATTTTGAACTAGGTTGTTATATACTTACCGCTGTTTTATGTATTTCAACGGAGAGTTGTGGTTAAGTTATTTTTTCAGGATCCGTATATTGTATTTTCCGTATCATGAAGTTTGCTTCGAATTCGTTGATCCGACTATATCAAATACAATAGTTTTAGTTCACTGACTTGGGAAAGAGACTTCTATTTGTGCTTGAAAGTGACAACGCTGGCAAGATTCTAAAGCATCTGTTCCGTCAATAAGACTTCTGAGTTGCTGAATGGATTAGACGATGATCTGATTTCCTTCTACCAAATTACACGAGGCGGGCTTTATGGCATCTTACCCTTGTGATGAAAAGCCAGCTGACTGGTTGGACCCTGAAGATGTCTCTTATTTTCAAACCTGTGGAGGTTAACAAGACGCAACTATCGGGGTAGTCGGAGGCGAGATAAGCTAGTTGACGATAAGGAAAACCAAAGGAAGGCCTATAGTAAGGAATCCGTGTGTGGCTGCAGCGGGTGTCGGTTTCAATTCCGTCTGTTGTGGCGTGCACTGGTTTATAATAAAATGGCGTAGTTCCTTCTTAACCCTTGTCATCCACCTCCAGCCCTTCATTATCCTTATGCCTCTGTCTCGCTCAGCACGCATAAAGCTTTTGCTTGTTATAGATGTGTTCTTCTTCTTTGTCGAGATCATCACAGGTATGTTAATGTTTACTTTCAAGTTAGGATGCTGGTATCGACCATATGTCTCTCCTTCACAGGTTATGCAGTCGGATCTCTTGCCCTCGTCGCTGATAGTTTCCATATGCTCAAGTGAGCTCTTGATATCAATAGCTTAGAAGCTTTTCCAATCTCTCCGCAGCGATGTAATGAGCTTGATAGTCGCGCTTTATGCGATAAAGGTGCGCTGCAATGTCTCACTCCGCACTTCCCCCATATACTAACGCCTCGTGCGGTCGCAGCTTACACAACAGACTACAAACTCATCTCGCTACTCCTACGGATGGCACAGAGCCGAAATCCTTGCAGCCCTCGTTAACGGCGTATTTCTTCTCGCTCTTTGTTTCTCCATTTTCATGGAGGCTATCCAGCGTTTCTTCGTAACCCCAGGTACGACTTCATCTCTTCCATTCAGTTGAACTTGCTTTGATTCTTTTTCCTTGTTATTTCCAGAGATCTCAAATCCCCGTCTGGTGGTGTTTGTCGGATCACTTGGTCTGGCGTCAAACATTGTCGGGTTGTTCCTCTTCCACGGTGTGTCTAATTCTGGGCTCTGTCTTCTGTGCCCTGACCCTTTACATGTATAACAGAACACGATCACTCGCATGATCATCAAAAGACGAGCCGGGCACCATCTCCACATCCGACGTCCACTCCATCTCCATCTGCCGCACACGGTTCGACATCCCCGCCCCAAATTGCGCGCAATGGTTCCAATGGAAGACCCCGTGCTGATTCCTACTCATCTCTTTATGGTCACCCCGCGGCCACCCGTGCGTCGCTTGTACAAGCTGCACAAGATCTTACTTCTGGTCGACCATCCTCTCCCACCCGTCGGGGCCGTGGCGATTCCGTTCATCAGCGGATTATAGAAGAAACGTCGTCCGGTGATGTCATCGGCACAAAAGGTCCGGATGAAGACACTCCTCTCTTGAGCGGTGAGATCATCGAGAACGAAAACAATGGCGCTTCTGTAGGAAGTGGCACTCCAGTCAGCGTCAGGAACCACGGACACCAGCATTCTGGGTCAATGAATATGCGCGCGCTTGTTCTCCACGTACTGGGCGATGCATTAGGCAATGTCGGCGTCATTGCGACAGGTTTGATCATCTGGTACACAACGTGGAGCTTCAAGTACTACTTTGATCCACTTATCAGTCTGGTGATCACTGTTATCATATTCTCTTCTGCGATGCCATTAGGTGAGTTTTCATCTGTTTATTTACTTGCTGCCGAAAGTTTGCTTACCTTTACATTAGTTCGCAGTACATCGACAATTCTTTTGCAGGGTGTACCTCATACCATCTCCCTCGAAGATGTTCGAGAATCTATTTTAAATGTGGAAGGTGTACTTTCTGTCCACGAGTTACATATTTGGCAACTCTCAGAGTCTAAAATTGTCGGATCCGTGCACGTAATGGCTTCTCGAAACCACGATTTCATGCCAGTAGCGGCAGAAATACGTAAAGCCCTTCATTACCACGGAATTCACTCGACAACCATCCAACCGGAGTATCATCCTAGAAGCCCAAGCATTATTCCTGAGGCGCATTTGAGGGTACGTGTGTTCTATAGTTTTAGTCGACCTTGATTTTGACGCAACCCCCGCGCTGCTAGTCATCTACCGATTCTTCTTGTCTCATTCTTTGTCCTCCGGATCAAAATTGCGACCCTCTCGAAAATTCGTGTTGTCGTGAGTCATCTATAGTTCTGGTCCTACAGTTATGATTGTTGACGTCTCATTTCCACAGCTCCTCCACCACCTGAGGCTTAAAAACTATCCACCATCATTTAATTTTGACCGTTGACCTTATCGTATCCATAAACTTCTTGCATTATGTACTGTTTGAACAGGAATTGTAATTCATTATTCATGCCTACCTGCAATCCGGTGGGATTGTCTTGAGCGGTGGTGGCACAATCGATCGCTGTGTCAGTAGTTGGCCACTGATACCTATTTTGCGCTCTGATACCATGATTGTAAGATAGAATATATTTGTGATATGAATAGCATATAGCGTACTAGTTCTCTATGAAGGGGGGAGGCAACTACATAAAAAATGTGAATCTTTTTATATATTTAAGTGGACGAGTAGATGAAAGGGAGTAAACCCAAGCCCGAGTAATAAGTGACTCACGAACAGCATAAAGACTAGTCGAAGTCTATACCAAGCAGAGCTCTACTACCAGAACTAATAGCAAATGAGGGATAACATCAACAGATTCGTTATGCCTTTAACGAGCCTTCACGTGGGTCCTCGCGTTTAGACTTGGACGACAACTGCATCGGATATGCATTTGGACCATCTATCGGTCGCACTGTGTCGATATGGACATCAACAGCTACTGGGTTTCCAAAGCGGAATATCGTGCTGTCAGTGGTTTGGTGTGTGCTGCGAGTAGAAGCGCTCATGCCAACCCGCACAACAATGAGCAAAGGGCTGGCAGTCTACAATCGAATGCCGATATGAGCCATCCACACAGCGCATACCGACAATATGTGAGATACGCACAGCGACTTGGATGGCCACACTTGTTGCCATGATACAGGCGGCGTTTCCTACGTAGGCGAGGCACATCATCACAAGTTCGCAGCTTGCAATGAGTGCACCTGATTCAACCACAAGGAGCATTGCGGTCTTATATGGATTGTGCTCTCTGCCAAACAAGCCACCCGTACGTCTCTGTGCTGCCCACAAATAATAGGAGATACCACCGCTTAGTCCAGCATTAAGGCAGAATCCTATAGTAAATCCTGCACTGGTAAGGCCCCTAACGGCGCGGGTGGTGACGACACCACCCTTACCGATAAGGGAAGCGCTAGCGAATGAGCAAGCTGGGAAATACACCATTAGTCCTAACGCGTATCATACAGGATAAGAGCGGGATTTACACGCATCGGCGGCCAGTATGATAAGCTATCGATGGATCCAAATATGAGTGCGACAGCCAGCGGAAGATAATGAGACGCATACATACAGGTATTATGCAGGGTTTCCAAGTATGACCGGCTACCATATACAGCCTCCATATCTAGTCAACAGTCCATTTTGAGCTATTCAATGATCAAAACAACAAACTAACTGACAAACAAAAGGAATTGAGCTATACCCTTTCGTCATTTAGCATTTTATTGAGCAAGAAACTTTACAAAAGACAGCGAGAGAGGCTCACATTGAAAATGTAAATGTACGCGTTGGGAGTTATAAACTGGTTTGACGTGAGGTAAGTATCTGCGGCAGCAATTGCAGATTCCTCATTTGTGAAGGCACGTAGGAGCTGTATAAATGACAGGACGACATGTACAGTTGCTGTTGTGAAAAGGAAAGTGCAAGCAAAGAGTATCGTTTTACTTGGGATTCTAGCCACATAGCACGTTCAATCCGGGACTCGATCAGCCAAGATCCACAAAGTCATCCTATTATACAACTTACAACTCACCGGTGACTAATGGATCTGTTTAGTGGCTGTCGCAGATTGAATAGAACAAACATGCAGCCGCTGTAAAGTATGCAACTGGGAATGCATATCAGACTGGAGAACTATACCAATCAGTGAAAACACACTTGGCTCCTACAGAAATATAGATAGACGTCACAGCGTGAAAGCGTTGAAATCATTTGATAAGGTCACCCACCATATATCATTGTCTCTAGCCAGATACAAGTGAGAGTAATCTGCGCTACACTCGCAGTCATTAAGCTAGGATCAGTGGAAGGAAATGCTGAAGAACTGTGAGAGTTACTCGCGAGTCGCGACGCTACATGATATATGTTACAACAGTCCATCGGTTCGAAGTCAATCCGATTACCTTTACTGAGATAAGTGCTGTGCACATGACATCGATCCGAATAGCAAGATGCCTGAATGAGTACCAGCGTTTCCAAGATCTTGCCGTATGCCATCACCTCAATGATACATCAAAGTGGGGCACTGCTGAGCCCGGTGGCTATCGGGCGTATGACGGGATAAGATAGGATAAGATCTCGACTCGACCGTCTGAGTCGGGGCTTGAGTGGCTTACTCCAGTTGATAATGAGAACATACTCTCGAAGTCGAGATGAGCAAGGTGCCTGAAGGATTAGTTGTTTGAGGATGCCACCAACGATGTACGTCGGGTCCCCAGCGGGTGACTCCTTTTCAGAATGATATGTCCAGAAGAGGTTCAGCAGGGTTCAGCCCCATTCGCTGGCGGAGAATACCGATCATAGTCATGGTACAGCCAAGCTCATACATAATATCATGCATGCATCATGCATGTCTCTCGGTATACCAGCAGGATAAAGTACCAGCAACATGCCACGTTGTGAGGTATGGGAAAATAGAACTTGAACCGAAATATCCCTGCCTCAGACCAGGTGAAGCGTAATTTAAAATGCACATTCATTTATATTACATACATGCATAAACCCACAGGAATCGGAAAAGGATCGACCCCCAACCCAAACATAAGGTCGCCAATGTGCGTGCGATTTTGGATAGAAGCCCGTGCCAAAGATGAGAAACGTTCGAAATACAGATACAGAAAACGAGTTGTGTGATTGTTATGAATGCTCTAATGTGACCCCATGAGGAGGTACCATACCTCCGAGACTGACTTCGTGTCGCTCGTCTTGTGCGGTCCTACTCGTACCAGGCATGCACTGGAATTGTCCATTGTCCATCGACCGTCCAGCGTCGACATCAGCATCGATCGACAATGGGGTTTCAAACATCGGCATTACACTGCTCAATATTATAGAATCCTTTGTATCTGTGCAGTAGGTTAATCGTATGCCAACCCGCACAATAAGGAGCAAAAGGCTAGCGGTCTGCAATGTAAAGGACCAAAATAAGTTACCACCCGAAGCAGACATGATATGATATGTGAATACTCACAGTAACCTGGATAGTTATACATACTACGGCGATACTGGCGATGCTTTCTGCATAATTCAAAGATATCATCACTAGTTCACAACCTGCGATGAGTGCACCTGATTCGATCACGAAGAGAATTGTGGCCGCCAAGGTGTATGGACTGGAACTTCTGCTAAACAGGCCACCTGCCTGTGTGCGTCTTCGTGCACCCCACACGAAGTAGAAGATGCCAGTGCTAATCCCGGCATTGAGACAGAATGCCATCGTCCAGCTTGCGAAAGCAAACCTCTGAAGGGAGTGGGAAGCTGTACCATCCCTCTCGAGAAAGTAGGTGGCAACAAATGCGCTACCTGGGGGTGTACAGTTGGCCTTAGTATGCATGAGATTAAAAATGAGAACTGGATTTACAGATGTTGGCAGTCACCAAGATAAGCTATCAGTGATTTCCAATGAGAACGACCATTGATATAAAAGGCTGAAAATATCTTACAGGCGTTATGCATGGCTTCCAAGTATGACCAGCTACAACATATAGCCTCCATATCTGCCGCCCTATTATTAGCGAGATTCAACATTTTGAGCGCTAGTCTAGACATACTCACAAATAGCAAAAATCGAGCTATGGCCTTCAGTGTATATCACTAGCTGGTAAGCTCGACAATAAATATAGACGTAGATGACACTCACATTAAGAATGTACATGATTCCGCTAGGAAGCAAGAACTTATTTGACATGATGTAATCATTAGCTCTGGAGAGTGTATCAACGGTCTCCGGATTTGTGAAGGTCTCCATGATTAGGAGAAAGCACAGCACGACGTGTATAGCTGCTGTCGCAAAAATGAAAGTGCAGGTAAAGCATATCATTTTGTAAGAGATACTAGTCGTATGGGAACGCGTTCATTCCAGGAATTGAGCCAAGGGTGTTTTTGAATCTATTTTGATAACTCACCCATGGGCACCACGCCCGGGTGAAGGGCGTCGCAAATGGGATAGAACGAATATGCAAGCACCGTATAGCACGCAGCTGTGCACTTTACTTATCAGACTGAAGGGAAACAGTATGTTCATAAAAACGCACTTGACTCCTGCATCATTATATAAGTCAACGAACGAGTGTGTTAAGATCATTGAATAAGTCACTCACCAAATAGCAGTGTCTCAAACCAGATACAAGCAAGACCAATTCGCGCTATGCCTGCAGTCATTGCGCCTGTGAGAGGGATCACTGAGGGGCCATGGGAGTTATTCACGCTACATGATATAGCACTTCTGCATCAAGCATGTAGTCCGAACAGCAATCATAGCTCTATCAAGCCTAGTTGACTGCTGCTGTCACTTCCGGGAACGCCCGTCAATCGCCAACTAACGATTTAATTGGAGTCGCGGACTCAGCCTCTCTGCACTCACGCCTCTTTGCCGCTACTGTGGCATATACGAGATAAACGTTATGCAAACGAAGGCTTGATAAGAATCTCAGCGATTTGTGAAAGAAATTACATAACAAAATCATTCAAGATGTGCATCCAGCTTGAAGGAGCGCCTTAGATAACGTACCTTTACATTAATAGACCTTCGTTCTTCCCTAAAGTCCCACATTTTCGCATGTAACCTTCAAGGCAGGGCAAGGAGACATTCACGTCGGCTTGTGATGCTGACCATTGACATGTTATGGAACCATTTGGAGGCTTCAAGTTTGACATCGACGTTAAACCAGAATTTTGATGATGCCATGTAGTGTGTTGCATGATCGGAGCCATTTTAGGTCCATCAGTATGCGGGAGGAGTTCTCGAGCACAAAGAATAAATATGGCTAGCATGATTCAGAGAGATAATGACGTACGGTGCTTTCTGTTACAATGTTTCAATCTGAGCTTTCACAACGAGATCATGAGACTAGTCCACGGGATATTAGAAAGAATTTGTAAGCATGCTGTAGTTGGAAAGAAAATACGGCGCTTACAAAAAAAATTCCTTTGATAATGCCAATCTGTTGAACTCCGCTTCAACTTGGACCGTATTATGGAATGGACAGCAAATGACACAGGTTGTTTTCGTCCCCACGCTTGTGCCTCACCACTCCATGCATCGACAACCTTCGCGGCATTCAAGACCCCCTGTTGACGACGATGTAGACGATAACGACGAATTATCTGACAGTGATGTCGACAATAGGAACACCCAAGGTTCCCGCAAGTCTAGGCGACCAGGTATCAAGTGGACTGCTGACCGTACTGATCGTCTCCTAGACTGGCTGGAACAGAATGTCGAAAAGCGACGTTTACTTTTCTCGGATTCTCAGGAAGATGCCACCAAGGAGAGTAGAAAGAAGGGACAGGCTAAGTCTAGCAAGGTGGTGTTACACGGGGAGCTTGCACAGTATGTATTTGGTGTGGAGAGTGATCCGACTATTTGTGCGACTCTCAAGTCTGACCCGGTGAGGTATACAAAGGCGGTCGATAACCACCTCTCTTCGTAAGTGTTATTTGTTGATCAGCTGAACCTAATATTTAGATAACGATTATTTATCCAGGCTGAAGAAAAAATACCGCCAGTCTTGTCAGGAGCTGGGCCGTACTGGAGCTGGTCTTACGTTTGAGCAACTAGAGAGGAACCCCGAGTATACGGGACCAATTGGTGCGTTTATACGTTAGTTCGTTCGATTTCTGCCTTCCTACATGTGTTTACCATACTACCAGGTGCAATCACGGCCAAGTTCAAAATGTTCCATCGTTTGCATGGCTTCTGGAGGAAGATCCCCAGCTACAACCCTTTCACAACATCATCAGATGCAGGTCAGGATCATGAGGCACAGGCCTACAATCTTCTGTTCTCAAACACGCGCGGTGGGGGTCATACTAGCCACCATGATGCAAGCAATGTGGCCTCAGCCATGGCGTTGGATATCCCTGCACAGCAGCAGCAGCACTACCCGGTTGACACGCAGACAACGAGCCAATATAATCTGAACTACCACCCGCCGAATCAGCAACTCCATCAGCTTCACTCCATGCCTCAGTACGTTAACCATCGCAACAGCTCCCATGTGGACCCGAGCATGACGTCGTCCTCTGTATCGTCCATGCCTTATGGTGTTTCGTTAACGTCATTACCGTCTATGACAACTGACCCAAATTTCTTTGACTCGAATGCTTCCAGCCTTTTTCCTGGGGCTTATCATCAATCGTTATCTTCTCTGTTTCAGGACAACCACTCCATCTCTTCATTCGAGTCTCTTTTTTCTAAACTGCAGCATGATACGCTGGGTCAGGGTCAAGGTCAGCCCGTACTCCCAATGTCTCCTTTACCCCAACCCCAATACCAGACGTCTTCGATCTCTGGTGCTTTGGGGATGCCATTTCCCATGTCTCCCACCTTGGACAATGACAACTCTGGTTTCTCCGCAAACCAGTATCCGCCCTCTCCTACATCTAGTTTCTTTTCCGATCAACCACCTGCCTCCCCCGCATCTGGACGATCCAACTTTTTCTCAAACTTACCGCAGACTTCTACTCCGCCTCCTGCAACTTCGCCTCCTGTTTCTCCACCTATCCCTGCTTTGAAAAAAGGCAAACATCCTGCTACGTCTGTAAACATCAGAGACGCCCTTCGCAATCAGCTGGCTGCATCAGGCAAAGAAGCCGCCCAGGAGCAGCGTGTCACTACGAATAGGCGATCCACTACGAAGGATCAGCCAAGTAAGGACGAATCATTGCGTCCAGAAAAGGGAGACGACAAACCTCGTAAACGTCAGCGGTCCCAGTTAGAAGACAACATGTCTATGATGCAGCGGGTCATGGAGCCTGTCGCACAGGCCATGCAGGGAAAGACTAACCTTGAGCAGGAGAAACTCGTTGTGCAGGGAGGTAAAATGGCCGCAAAGAATGCGAAGTACACCGCAATTGCAGAGCGCGCACGCTTCGAAAATCGGAAGAGGGAGAAGGAGACTGTTGTCTTGCAACACGAACAGTTCAAGGAGAAGGTGACGTTGATTACCGAAGGCCAAATTAAAAGAGAACGTGAACAAAGACAACATGAAAAGGACATGTTGAGGATGAAGTTCGAACTTATCCAGGCTGTCAAGGACATCCCTGGTTTGGACAATCGCATTATCTCAACGCTTCTCATGGACAACTCCACCTCCCCTGTCCCTTCTTCCATCATCTCTGACCTCTTTGAACAGTCAATTGTTGGACCTGTTGCCTCCACTTCCACCTTGCCCTCATCCACGTTTGAACCAGGAGCGTCCATCGCAGAAAAGGAGTATAGCGGTGATGAACATGAGAATAGTGCTGATGGCAATGACGATTCGATGGTGATTGATGGGAGGATGATATAGACATTGACTTAACTTGCTATCTCTGCTTGCTATACTGTTGTGATGAACTTTTGTACTCGTGCTTTGTTTTATTTTACAAATGGAATTCAGTTTGTATGTCTGACTAGAAAGCTGACAATGAATTTAATCTACATACAGGTGACTCGAGAATAGTGCTAGCATTAGACGGTGGCGAAAGAGCTGTCCTTCAGGAATAGTGACACCATCAATAACACTCGGGGCAGCTGGCAACTCACCAACTACCGCAATATCATCAGGCACGTCCTCCGAAGGCTCACTCTGATCATCTACACCATCATGGTTGTTATGCCCACCCGGATCGGACCAGTTATCCGAGCTCTCGTCACCTTCAATCAGAATTACCAAGTTGTGGAGGATGAAGCACGACTTGAGCCACGTTACGGCCCATTCGTGCCGATCTTGCGAGCTAATTTGAATGCGGAGTTCGTGGAGTGATTGAAAACGGCCCTTAAGTAAGCCAATAGCGTGTTCGGAACGGATACGGATACGCGATAGATAGTAATTATAGTGGCGTTCACTCTGTGTGAGATTACCATTTGTGGGCCGCTTGAATGGCGCCATGCACCAATCTTGGATGGGATACGCTGAGTCAGCCCATATCCACTCTCCGGCATCCAGAAATAGCGCGTGATCACGGAAGATTTGTGTAGCTTCAAACGCGTAAGAGTCGTGCACACTGCCTGTGTGCCCCAGGGCGTAGTCAACGATCCGTAAGTTGTGAGGCAGGGTTACGAGCTAAAACAAAGAATTAGATAAAATGTATTAATAAGCAATTTTTGTACCTGAGCATTCATCGAATAGTTTGATGATCGATCGTACCAAGCCTCGCCAAAATGGCTCGGCTTTTGAAACAATGGGAATGTTGTCCCATCGACCGAAAGCCAGCCGTCACGCCATGATTCGCACACTTTTGATTGGACAAAAGCTTTGGCTTTTCGTTTTTCATCGTCTGTGGGACTGCACATAGCCATGTCATGCAAAGACATGAGCGCCAAGGCCACCCGCTTAGTGGACAGGACAACAGTGCCGACTGATACTCCTGCCCACTCGGCTACTTCATTACACGATGCCGCATTTCCATAGTGGCCAACGCGAACAAGGAATATTCCGAGCTGAAGGGCCGTGGGATACTGGGGGCTATTGGATGAATTATGAAATATTTGGTGATTTTCAATTAGTGTGACAATCACATCAAAGGTCGTGGGACGTAAGCGTAGTTTACGCAAGAAATGGCCGAGATCATTATGGCGGGCCCACTCAAGTAAGCCTAGCTGAGGCTGCCGAAAAGCAGGGCTTTTGGGGAAAAAAATGCGTGTCTCCTCCACGGCGGTGTGGAGCATGATGTATAGTGCAGAGGTCAACTGCATGAAGCTGAACCTATCAATCAGCCATGGTTGCTCATCTTCTGAGGTAGTACTTTCGGCCTCTTCATCTGACTCGCCACCCGACTCACTAAGCGGCCCTACCGATTCCAAGTCGAGCTCTGCGCCAAAGTCCGATCCCACAGACTCGAGTCCCGCACGCGGTGAGCTGCTTAGCGACACCCCTACTGAGTCCGAATCGATCGACGAGTAACTCGTGCCAGATCGATCAGATGGCACGTCCTCAGCAGCGAGAGTGTCGACAATGGTCTGCAGTGTTCGGTTTTGTGCACTGACATAGATGTCATCGAGAATTTCCAAGTGCTGATCACGGATGGAGGCACGGTTTCTACTCATAATGACAGTATTATAGAGTCGAGATTTGGGGGATCAGATTTGATTATGAGTCTCTTTCTTATATACTAACTAGTTATTCTGAGTTGAAACTCGATATTTCTTGATTTCGATATCTTATCAGTTTGCACATATTTTTTTTCAACTACAGCATGCTTACAAATCATCACTTTTATTTTTTCAGGCGCCTGAAATATTTTCAGCGTTTACTTCGAATGTCGCTAACAGTTCGCTTGGTACGAAAACCACGGCACGGAGATAGAATCGGGCCTACGGTACACGGCAGGGAAGAAAATCTACAAGGAAACTAAAGGCGTGGGAGTTTATAAACATAATAAGGTCGCGACTTTGAAATCCTCTCCATCTGCAAAATGCGAAAATTCGCTTAAACCTCGCCTAGCGTTAGGCGCATTTCAAAATTCGAGACTTCTGGCGCCGACGTCTCTGATAGGTGGAAAAAGTCGATATTACCATATATATCCAAAGGATTGAATTTTCAGAAGTAGATTGCGATGAGATTTCAGATATCATAGAGATAGCATTTTATCAGCGTGATAAGATAGAGATTGCCAGTGGTGGCTGATTGTCATTATCATATCAGAGAACGATAACTAGAAGCGTGAATATCTACTGTACAACAATCAATCTGCAAACTCGGTCAGAAACATATTATAGGTCTCTTTGTCCGAGAAATTATTGACATAGAAAGTTGTTGGAACCTCCATAGAGTTGCTGGAATTGATGTCACGGTTCATAACTGCACCAAAGACGGGTATAAGATTGACAGGCAAGTGTATCGAGTTGAGAGGATACACATTGCCTGCCCGGATCCTTTCTCTGGTTGTCAAGTTGCGGAAGAGTCGTTCGACCATGTACATATCAACATCTTCTTCTACCAAAATGTTCCCTTGGCCATCTCTTCTCGCTCCTGTATAACCAAAGTTTTGTGCATAAATAAGCACAGTTGATAGACATTGGTCGAGGACAGTGTTTCGCGGCGCTATGGCCTGAAATATGATACGTGTTTGCACCACAGAAGTAGCTAGATAAAAGCAACACATCGGTTAATGTTATGATGAACTTTATAAACTTACACTGCAAACCATGCCCATCCTGATTACCCAGCATCACAGCATCGCAGTTTCCGAGTGGCATATCGGGCAAGGGCAGATATGCTTGAATAGTTTGCGGCGGCATGATGATATGTGACCAAAATGTCGAGTGTAGCTGCATTTTGCATTTATACCACACCCAAATATGTGTGAATGATAAATTTGCGCAGTCGTCTGGCCCAGAAACCTGTGACGAACATGCTGTGCATCCGATAAGCCTTGTGCATAGTCGGCTATGGCTGCTGGTAAGTCTTCTAAAGCAAACAGTTCTGCGGCATCATTGATCGAGATAGACTTTATACCTGGCTGCTTTGTGAGGTGGAGCACTGACCTGGCATCAATAGACTGGATCCCTTTCAAAAAATGGTTGTGGAGGGGCCGGATGCTGGAGATATGGTTTTCTTCGGGCAAAGCGCGAGATAGCCAGCTCGATTCAGGGTCAAGTTCAGCAAGCATTGAGCTTTCTTCAACAACAAGATGATTGATTAGGGAGATTTTGCGGTCTCGTAGGATTGAGTATAGATGAAACATCCGCGCCTTTTCCAGACGGTCGAGAATACGTACGCACTGTAATTCAAAATGGCGACGACCATTAGTACCACTGAAGGGGTGTTTGCAATGAGTAATTAAAAGATGTTCAGTGACATCAGCCATGAACTGCATGACAGCCCCCATGCTCCGAATAGCTCGAGCAAAATGTTGCAATAATTCAAGTTTTGGAATGTTGAAATGGTTGATGGTCGTAGACGTACCACGGCGAGCTTCCGCATCCAAGATAGCTTGCTTATTTTGGTGAAATTCGGACAGAGAAGTGACCATGTCCTTTATAGATGGATAGGGGACTGAGCTTGGTAGATGAAGTCGACAAGAGCACGGACAGCTCGCAAAAAAGAGGGGGTAACAGCACCAGCCGACATTGCAACAATTGTCCTCTGGATTTCACGATGTTCACGTCCTGTCATCTGTCTGACATGTGAAATCCCGTTAGTGAAGTGTCTGAATCCCACTCGTACATGTAAACTCCTGTAGTGTGCGCCGAGTTCATCTCTTCCAATAGCTTCCTTACACCACAGCAAGACATGTTCAAAGAAAAACTTATGGCATGTATGTAAAACCTTGGGAACAAGAAATTTGCTTGGGTCTGCCAAAGGCCAATCGCGCCAAAACAGATGATGGACACCACTCAAACCTTTAGCCTTTGCCTCTGGAACAAAGCTCCCAAAGTCCCACATATCGGATTGGATGCTGTTAATGGCTAGGAGTGTATCAATGCCTAGCGGTGGTCAACAAGGTTTGTTATCACCAAATTCCTTCAAGCAAGCATGTGAGATCGGTGAGAGGTTCTTCGTACTGCATGCAATCATTTGCTGTTCTGGTAAGTCAGCTACCCAAGCAACTAACGGTGTATATGCTCAACGGGCTACACCATTGGATCAGCCATCCATACGCCTGTGCTAGCCGCCATCTTGAGGTTTTTTGTAACAATGTCCATACAGGTGTGCCAGACATGATCCGAGAGAATAGATTGGTATTCAGTGCGACAATCCAGGAACGTTGGAATGGGTAAGAAAGCCGTGCAGAGCCAAGAGTGAGTTGTGGCTTTCATACGCACGTCCAATGAGATGTTTGTGAGTGTGAAAAAGGTAGGATGCATGTCAATACCACCTGTTCCCCGAGTAACTGTTGTCTTGTCTGATGCACCAACAACTCCGACAATAGTAGAACTGATAGGAAGTTGATCCTAAACTGCCTATCAGCTAAACGAGCAAATAATGATACAGATACATACCTGTATAGCCCATGCATAGTCACCGGTCATCCACTCGCTGTACTCCTGTTCGCCATCTTTGTTCACTACTTGCTTTGGGTCCATCATCATGTGTTTAGCAAAGATGGGATTTCCAAACAGTGATCTGACAACTCCGAGACCATCCCTATACAGCAGGATCATGGGTTTTTCAGTCAGTAATTTCTGGCCTGTATTTCTTCCATTTTCCATACTGGCCCACTTGGCAGTACCTCCATAAACAATGTTAGACGGTATGCCAAACCAAAGCTCAACTTTGAAGGATCTTTTGTCTGAAAATACATGAGCACTTCCCACAGATTCTGGACGACAAAGTAATTACCCAGGCAAGTTTCAAGGACTTATCGATCTGCATTTGATTGAGTGTTTCCATCAGGAATTTTGCCAGCTCCCATTCATTCTGTGTGGCAAAGGGCCAATATACGCTGTGAGTGTGTTTGTTGGCATATTTATCAGCATTCATTTGTTCCAAGGCATTTGGTAGCCTGCCGTAGTCGTGTGCAGAGTTAGGGTGATAAGAGAGCTTGGTTCCCGGTGGGATGGGGCCCTGATTATCCCAGTGAGGCAGATCAGGGGGTGCATTTCTAGCAGGTATGTGAAGTTGTTCGCCATTTGCAGTAGTAATAGGTTCTGCTAGAGGAATGCAAGAGAGAAAAGGATCGTTGTGTAACAACCAAGAGTTAGTTACTCCGGCGCACACAGGAACACACTATAAAAGAATGAAGAGGGAGTGGTTACCCCTTAAGATGCAGTAAGTTAGTTGGTATACAACAGGAGGACTCGCTGAGGAGTCTCCTGGATCTATTGGAGTTTATATACTACTACAGGGTTGTTTGTACATGTGTACTATACAGTTGATAGAGACAGTGGCCAATAATGTCATGGGGTCTAGCCCGCATGGCCAGCTCCACTGTGTGAGAGAGTTGTGTCTAAAATAAGAAGAAAGGCAATGCGGCGCAAGAAAGGGGAAGTGCCGCATGGCCCCATGTGTGAAAGCTATAGTACAAGGTTAAAGCGGAGAATAAAAGTAAAGGGAAGGTCCAAAAATTGTGTTATTGTAACACTACCCCCCTTCTAAGGCTCGACTTCCAGGCGAGACCAAATACTGGAGGTAGTGGTAAAATTTTTGGGCATAGGTTGAAAAAGAGAATTAAAAAGATTTGAAACCATGCCTCTAAGCTTCCTAGGAGCTCAAGGATTCTTAGAATAAAATTCGCGAACAGTGTTGCGGGAATTGTCCAGATGGGTTTCTGGTTCCCACGTTCTGTCCTCGTCTCCATAGCCCTTCCATAGGACTAGGAACTCTAATTTACCACGCTTCAAGCGTGCATCCACTACTCGTTTCACTTCGAACTCTTCTTCACCTTCCTGGGTGACTACAACCGGTCTGGGCCGGTCTACACGCTGTCCTGGCAGCGGCCCTTTGTAGGGTTTCACACGGCTAATATTGACCATGGGTACTACCCTCATTCATTTTGGGAGTTCTAGCTCCACTGCGTTTGGTTTGACTTCCTTGATCCGGTAAGGGCCAATCCACTTTTCGGTCAGTTCTCTAGACTGCCGATCTTTTAATTTTAAGTGGTTGGTATCTAACCAGACCAGGTCGCCAACCTTGTAGTCAGGGGCTTTAGAGCGTCTACGCTCTGCCCTGTCTTTCATCTGCTCTGCAGTTTTAAATAGCGCCTTGCGCGTTGTCGATGATGAGAACTGTTGTTAGAAAACCACACACAAAAACAAACTAACACACAATCCTCCCAGATTCCATGGAACTTGTTTATGGGCTTTGCCTCCTAGAACAGTGGGTGCTCTGGTTGTTCGTGGGGTGGTATATATGAGGATCCTTCAAAGTAAAACCCAGAGGTGTATGAGTGCGGGTTTTGAGGAGGAGGGATAGTTGAATTTATAGAAGGATAGGGGCTTTGTGATGAGTATAGACGAGCACTACCTTGCTAATTGTAGCACAAGGTAGGTTTGAGAACGACAATATGACGAGGTTCCCAGTGATAGCAGGCTCCTGACGCACAAACTGTAGTGCTCAGAAGGACTCTAATCGAAGGGGATGACAATCACTTTCAAAAAGTGACGAGTGACGATGACAGCAGTTAACAGTGGTAGAAGTGGGAAGTGTTGTGACCACACTGGATCACAAGTAGCAGAGTAGTGAACTTGAGATTAGAGAAGAAGTCTGGAATCGAGTTCTTGTTGTTTTTTTACAAGGTAAAATACAGGGGTTTATATAGTAAAAGAGAAGTAGGCTATGCACAGTATAGCTGTGCAAAAAGAATGAGAAAGAATATGAAGGAAGGAATGTATGCTGACGAATCCTGCGTAGGTAGTACAGGATAAGATTGTCAAAAAAAGAAAAGAAAGGGATAGAACAATAAATGCTGTGAGTAATATCACAGGTTTGTACAGCCATAAAGTAAAGTCCAATAGCAAAAAGAGAGCAGGAAAATCATGATGTCATGGGAAGATGCAGTAAAAAAAGAGCAAGGCAAAACACTATCAGTATCAACACAGTTCCTTTATTGTCAGTCAGGCATTCTAAAAAAATATGTGTCCATAAAAATGATTCAAAAATCAAAAATAATCGCACTGTAAATGAATGTTCTGCTGAAAAAAAAGAAACTGGAGCCACCGGTCCACCACCTAGTCCAAATCTGACAGTTCCATGGCCTTACCAATGGACTGGTTGTGTTGGACCACCTGATCAAACGAGGGAGGGAGAGGAGTAGTTCCAATTTGGAACAAGTGAGTCCCAGGCAGCGTGTGGTAGGTGTAGCTGTAGCGAAGACGATGGACAAATGATAAGTGTACCCAAGTGAATGGGACAGCGATGAACATGGGCGACGCAAGGGGATGAACCTTCTCCAGCTCAAAAATTACCCACCCACGCTCCAACCAGGCAAGACGAGCGACCGATGTTTTGATAGTATATGATGGCAGATCGACGTCATGAAGATGGACCTGTTGCCCTATTTGGACCGGCCGCCGGGGCTTTGCTGATATCAGCAGTGGCACGTGGTAGTCAACGGATCGGCGACGGAAGCGGATAGGAAGTGGTGACATCAGAAATGGTGGGGGTGCAAAGAAGATGAGGAGGAGGAGGGTGGAGGTGACGAGGAGGTGAACTAAAATGGGGACCCAGAAACGACCGTCGGGTGAGAATAAAAAGGAGAGGAAGGGGCCCATGGTGGGGCTAGGCAAAGGAAGGGGAGTAAGGGAAACGACAAAAGCGAGGGCGCAATGCAATGTGTAGCCAGTGGCGACGCGAAAATTTGCCGAAATGCCGAAATGCGGAAAGTACCGGATGGAAAAGCAAAGGTGAGCGTGACTGGATTGCCTAATAGAGGTGGTGCTGATCAGCCACAAGTTCAAAAAGGGCAATATTAATTACTATTCCACGTGGCACTGTGCCTGTGTGGCGCAAAGGCGAGTCTTTTTGAATATTCGCTTCGTTATTGACACCTGTCCATGCTACCAATCAACTTTGGTGCATGACACTGGGCAAGGTTTTCCACACCAACGTCTAAACAGATCTCTTTTTGGAATAAATACGTGCGCATCAACACACGCCTTGGGATTTCGGGAAAGGGTGGCTCCAGTGAAGAAGAGAGGGTATAGAAAGTTACATGTTTTTCTATTTTATTTTTACCAGAATCAAGCACCCTAGTGTTTGTCTTGCCGGGGCCACACTCCGAAGGAGACGCTGGTGCAGCGGTAGTATCATTTATTTTACAGTTACATTGCTTCATACAAGTACATACTTCTGATAACAAATTTAAGAATCTATTTACAAATTGGGGAGCCATCCCCGTCTTTCCTTTATTGCTCGTGCAACACCCCGGAGCAGGGGCCACCTTGTTGTGGTTTACTTCATTGTTCGTAGGAGCAAAGGTGTTACAATTGACATACCAGCATCTACTTACGCTTCACTTTTGTACTTCTACTTTTATTTTCCAAGTCACATGACCAGTCATGTGACCATTTACTTTACTTTACATTTTCAACTTTTCATAGTCATATGACCAGTTATGTGACATATCACCTGACCAGTGTCTAGACTCATCATGTGACCGGTCACATACTAGACATTGAACTTTGAACTTTATTTACAACTGCAGTACCTCATGTATTTTAGTATATATACAAGAGCAATACATGGGGAAGGACTCAGAGAGTCCTCCTGTTGTATACCAACTAACTCACTGCATTTTAAGGGGTAACCACTCCCTCTTCATTTTCTCTATAGTGTGTTCCTGTGTGTGCCAGAGTAACTAACTCTTGGTTGTTACAGAAGGCACCCAAGTGACCTAAGCTCCGAACTCTTTTCCCTGAGCCTTCATTTCATTGACCTGTGGGTCATAGAAGAAAGCCCAGATTTCGTTGTACGAACGACCGGCCAGAGTATTGAGCCAATTGTCCGGCTTTTCAGCTTCTAATTGACACGCCTGGCGCCCTTGATTATTTTTTTGTTGAGCGCCCTGCGCTCCATTTGTACACTTTCGGGCTATGTGCCCCTCCTGCCCACAGTTGTAGCAGGTGAATTTGTGTGTCTGTCCGCCCTGGACCGCGCCGATATCCATAGGAGTACCCCGACCTGGTTGCAGCCCGAACAGCTGAAACCCGTGAGAGTGTTTAGTTTGGTTTGATGACCCAGGGCGCCTCTGGGATTCGTTATTTTTGGTGCTGGACCCGCTGTCATGCACCAAAGTTGATTGGTAGCATGGACAGGTGTCAATAACGAAGCGAATATTCAAAAAGACTCGCCTTTGCGCCACACAGGCACAGTGCCACGTGGAATAGTAATTAATATTGCCCTTTTTGAACTTGTGGCTGATCAGCACCACCTCTATTAGGCAATCCAGTCACGCTCACCTTTGCTTTTCCATCCGGTACTTTCCGCATTTCGGCATTTCGGCAAATTTTCGCGTCGCCACTGGCTACACATTGCATTGCGCCCTCGCTTTTGTCGTTTCCCTTACTCCCCTTCCTTTGCCTAGCCCCACCATGGGCCCCTTCCTCTCCTTTTTATTCTCACCCGACGGTCGTTTCTGGGTCCCCATTTTAGTTCACCTCCTCGTCACCTCCACCCTCCTCCTCCTCATCTTCTTTGCACCCCCACCATTTCTGATGTCACCACTTCCTATCCGCTTCCGTCGCCGATCCGTTGACTACCACGTGCCACTGCTGATATCAGCAAAGCCCCGGCGGCCGGTCCAAATAGGGCAACAGGTCCATCTTCATGACGTCGATCTGCCATCATATACTATCAAAACATCGGTCGCTCGTCTTGCCTGGTTGGAGCGTGGGTGGGTAATTTTTGAGCTGGAGAAGGTTCATCCCCTTGCGTCGCCCATGTTCATCGCTGTCCCATTCACTTGGGTACACTTATCATTTGTCCATCGTCTTCGCTACAGCTACACCTACCACACGCTGCCTGGGACTCACTTGTTCCAAATTGGAACTACTCCTCTCCCTCCCTCGTTTGATCAGGTGGTCCAACACAACCAGTCCATTGGTAAGGCCATGGAACTGTCAGATTTGGACTAGGTGGTGGACCGGTGGCTCCAGTTTCTTTTTTTTCAGCAGAACATTCATTTACAGTGCGATTATTTTTGATTTTTGAATCATTTTTATGGACACATATTTTTTTAGAATGCCTGACTGACAATAAAGGAACTGTGTTGATACTGATAGTGTTTTGCCTTGCTCTTTTTTTACTGCATCTTCCCATGACATCATGATTTTCCTGCTCTCTTTTTGCTATTGGACTTTACTTTATGGCTGTACAAACCTGTGATATTACTCACAGCATTTATTGTTCTATCCCTTTCTTTTCTTTTTTTGACAATCTTATCCTGTACTACCTACGCAGGATTCGTCAGCGTACATTCCTTCCTTCATATTCTTTCTCATTCTTTTTGCACAGCTATACTGTGCATAGCCTACTTCTCTTTTACTATATAAACCCCTGTATTTTACCTTGTAAAAAAAAAGAACAAGAACTCGATTCCAGACTTCTTCTCTAATCTTAAGTCCACTTCTTACTGCTACTTGTGATCCAGTGTGGTCACAACACTTCCCACTTCTACCACTGTTAACTGCTGTCATCGTCACTCGTCACTTTTGAAAGTGATTGTCATCCCCTTCGATTAGAGTCCTTCTGAGCACTACAGTTTGTGCGTCAGGAGCCTGCTATCACTGGGAACCTCGTCACCTCGTCATCCTCGTTGTTCTCAAACCTACCTTGTGCTACAATTAGCAAGGTAGTGCTCGTCTATACTCGCCACAACGCACCTATCTTCCTATAAATTCAACTATCCCTCCTCCTCAAAACCCACACTCATACACCACTGGGTTTTACTTTGAAGGATCTTTATACGTACCACCCCACGAACAACCAGACCACTCCACTGTTCTAGGAGGCAAAGCCCATAAACAAGTTCCGTGGAATCTGGGAGGATTGTGTGTTAGTTTGTTTTGTGTGTGGTTTTCTAACAACAGTTCTCATCATCGACACCGCCACCTTGGTGCATTTGGTAAAGCTCCATGGCTCTACCGATTCTTCGTACTTCCTCAGCTGCCAGGGCCAAGTTCTTGTTTCTAGTATCCTGCAGATAGATCTGTTCTGCAATGCGAGGGTTCACATTGCGTTCCAGCAGTTTTACTGCGTGTTCATTACCAAGCCCTCCTTGGATGGAGAGGGCCAGGAACCAGGTAACATAGTCATCCGTCCTCATGTTTCCTTGTTTGAAGGAATGGATTTGCTGATGTGCCCAGTCACGCTCAGCTTGCGGTTTGAAATATTTTTCGATCTCTTTTTTGAGATCGTCCCAGGTCGGCCACACTCCCGCGGTGTAGCATTCCTGCAGTCTTACTTGGGCGTATCGACCCACCACAGGTCCTTTTAGTCGAGATAGCACCGCAGTGGCTACCTCAAAATCGTTGGCAAACACGTCCCAGTTTGCCTTGACCCAAATTTGGAGCTTGATCCACCCTTTTGGCAAATCGCGCTCTGTCTCCTTTGAAGGCGCCAGGGTCAGCAACGACTTCGACTTTCTTGTGGAACTTTTTCTTAACCAAGGGGGTTGCCACAGGAGGGTTGTTCTGCAGCTCAGTGAGTTGCGAGGTTAACGTAGCAATCTATGCATGCATGGCATGCAGCAGACTGTTCATATCTTGTTGCGATGACATGTCGACTTGTTCTCTTTGTAAGGTAATGAAAATGTAACTGGGGGTCCCCGCTTGCTATCTGCGGATCTACCTCTTCCCAGCTGAGTATCGGATCTCAATCTCCGACTGCCCACACTATAGTATTTGAAAAGTATATAAAAAGTATTCGTAAGAAACCCTGGTCCGAACGGTTGTCAGGGGGTGGTCCGCTTGTTAAGCTGTCAACCCTTCTCCAACTGGCGGAGGCAAGTGCCCGGCCCGGTCAGAGGTATTTGAAGAAGAAGTTTTGTATTCTAAAATCTAATCAACAGTGGTTCCACACCAACTGCTGAGCTATGGTACTCCCCTTAACGCTGGGGGCCGCGTATGAAAAGTTTTGGTTCTTCTCCCAAACCACTACAAGGCCGTCGTGAAGAGCGCACCTATCTGCTATGCGGGATATTCCCAACCAATAACTAGATCTCCTTCACCCTGGAGTCCAGGTGCCCAGTGGGACTTTTTGCACAAAATGTGCGAGAGAGTAGAAGAGCGAGTCCTAATGTAACAACCAAGAGTTAGTTACTCCGGCGCACACAGGTACACACTATAAAGAGAATGGAGAGGGAGTGGCTACCCCTTAAGTTGCAGTGAGTTAGTTGGTATACAGCAGGAGTACTCGCTGAGGAGTCTCCTGGATCTATTGGAGTTTATATACTACTACAGGGTTGTTTGTACATGTGTACTATACAGTTGATAGAGACAGTGGCTGATGATGTCATGGGGTCTAGCCTGCATGGCCAGCTCCACTGTGTGAGAGAGTTGTGTCTAAAATAAGAAGAAAGGCAATGCGGCGCAAGAAAGGGGAAGTGCTGCGTGGCACCATGTGTGAAAGCTATAGTACAAGTTTAAAGCGGAGAATAAAAGTAAAGGGAAAGTCCGAAAATTGTGTTATCATAACAGTGAAGGTCAATCTAGCCGCTCTAGCTAGACATAAGATATAACTCCAAGTGCGGTTGTTGGTATGGCAGAATGATCAGATGTGATGACTTGATCAAATAGACAGAGGAAGAAACTATGTTGACTGCATTGGATTGCACAATATACGTTCAGTAGACACCGGATCTATCAAAGAGAAAAGAAACAACAAACACTAAACTTACATCATACTTTGTACCACTTTTTTTTTGCCATGCCACTAGGTATTATGTAGCAATATGCAGACTCACCATTAAATCGAAAGCTGGAAGCTGAAACCAGATTACAGTTTACGTCGTGCTTTAATTGCATAGACCACGATGGCGCCCCCACGTTACTAACCGTAGCGGGAAAAGAAAGTTTCGGAAAGGTCCGGCTGCGCAGAGTCCGCGATGTCACCGGCACTAGAAAAGTACAGTGGTACTTTCACTATACCCGCGCCAAATTGAGAAGATTCCGTAGACTTCTAGCTCTGGGTGGGACTGAAGTAAACCTGAAGGCCTAGTATCGGCACAATGTCCGCTGGGATCTTGGCTTCTTGGCTTTCTTCCAGCCAATGTATCCATCTATCGCCTAAATATTCTACCAGCAGCCGCATCATGAGAAAGTACGTGTCTAGGATCATTTGTAAATCGTGACATTGCTAGCTGTCATCGGATGCGTTCACCTGGAGACTAGCTGACGCTCACCTGTCTGCTGGTGTGATCTTGGGTCTGATACTTTCGCACCAGTCGGTGCCTTAGGTGTCTGGCCAACAAGATGGTAACGAATCGCTTATCCTCGAAGTTCTATTTACCCAAGTCATCACCCTCTCGGAATCAAATTTAATCAATCACGCTTCGGAGTCGCAGCCACGCAGCCATTGTTACTATCTTTCCTACCAACTCCCCTTGGTTTTAACTCACAAGTCACAAAACTGTCTTAATCTGTCGTCGCATCATGCCTGAGGTTCCTATAATCATACATATGGCTTATGTTGGTCACTGGTCATTACGCTTTACTATCATGTGTTCCTCTCTGTCTAGGGACCAGCTCCCGGTGCTCCCTCATTTCTCCTTCAGTCCTTCGGGAACGGACGTCGTCGTCTCTTTCCAGATCTATGGTTATTCTTGAGTGTTTTGCTATCAAATCGAGAAGGCAGAATACTCATCCCCGAAACCTCAGAGCAAGGCCGCTACCTCTACCTCCATATCATGGCTTAGAACACCAGCAGTCAGAGTATCAAGTCTGCCAATTCCCCATTTGCATCTGGTAGGTTTTCTTGTTGAACCTTAACGGGTAATATTCGCTGAATGCACAAGCAATTGTGTGTTTCATAAAGGTCAGCGCTCAGCGTCAGTGTCAAGACAACTATCTGACGTCGTGTGCAATAGTGCCTCAAGAAGTACTTTAACTTCTAGAAATCTTGAGACAAGCCGTGGTTCGATTTGCTTATAATGGGGGTTCAATACCGCCTATGTTTCGATAGACCTTTTGTCGGCTGCCGTCAATATTTGGACTATTATATCCACTATGGAGGAGCTTATCGACTTGGGCCTCCTACTCAAAGCTTCAATTGACAAGGTATGTCTATGTATGATGTAGTCTACCGAAAACAAATATTCATACCTATAATCTTGTGTAGATACACACCAATCGGAGGCGAATTGAGATTCTAGCGGAAGAAATTATTGAGACCGTACACGAATTGCAGAATGTCGCGAATCAAACCACAGACATCTTGGTCAGAACGATTTGAACTCCTGGACTTAAATATACTCAACGGTGAATTCAGGGGCTTACTATTCCGCACTCGAATTCCCGTTGTACGCACAACTCCTCGATTGGGGTGCTGTAGACAAGATAAAGGCTTTAGCTACTAGCGGCAGTCTTGAGGAGGAGATCAGAGCAAACAAGTCAAGAGTTGCCACCGGTATTTCACTGTGAGTGATTGTGTTTTCTTGGGATTATTATGACCTTATATAAGGGTCTACAGCCATTCGCCATCATTCGCATCGAGAAAGCAGCAACCAAATAAAGATGACAATATAGAAATCAAGAAAAGAATTAAACCTTGTCATAGAGCAGCTCCAATACCAATTCGAAGAAGCTGTTCAATTCTACAAAGAGTTCGCTGTGGAGAAGATTACGCGATGCACTGTCAGTTACGCCCATACGTTATACAATTTCTCTAGCTGTCTCAGTAAACTTGGACGTGACAAGGAAGCTCTCATGACGACTACTCGTACATACTCTTTCGCAGCTTAGTGGCAATTGGACATCTCAACATGAAACATAATGCTGAAACGTGGCATACGTCACAGGAGCTGGTTTCCGATGGCATCCCTTCACTTTTCTCAAGATTATTCGCAACATTTATCTTCCTCTGGCTTTCATGACATGCATTAGGAGGGAATATGGACCATATCCCTCTATGAAGGTTGAAATGACCTAAAGGGCGTAATTCGAACTACAGGTATCATGCGTACAAGCATGATTTTAGCCCTCTGAAAGGGCTAAAGGCGACGAAGATACTGTCCATTTGGCGAGCAAGTTACCCAGGTACAACGATCTCTTCTACCCAATCCTTATATTCTCTCCTGAACTTCGTTCGTTGAGCCGGTTGAGGGGTGGACTCGAATAGGTCCACATAATCTGGGTCAATTATCACCAGCGCACATCTTTCAAATGCAATCGCAATATTCTTCTTGTCCTCTTCGGTTTCAGCATCATCGAAATTGGGTAAATCATGTGGCCACTTCTTCATCTCATCGTACCCTCCTTCCAATTTGGTCCCAGGAATTGGTCTCACAAAATTCGCTCTCGTGAATGTTTCCAAGCCATTGAATACCTCGAGACGAAAAGCTTCCCAATCAAAGTTCTCATCTTTTAAAGCTTGTAACGCAGGGCCTCTGGTGCTCGGGAATTGCGAGTGAAGTGGGTGAGATGGGTGAGGCATGACGGCCACTAGTCCCCTGATTCGGTACTGCTCCAATATGTCTAGAAACCAGAAGATAGATTCGCTTTCTGCATTGCTTGTGATTTGGTCGATTTTGGGTGATCGTACATCTGCTGTGCAGACGATCAGGGGAAGGGAAGAGGCTTTTTTCGGCACGAGGAATTGTCTAAGGGTGATAGAACGATTACGAGGGCTGCCGTCTTCAATGGTTGCAAAACTGAATACTAGGTGCCATAGGCACATGTGAGCTCATTTTCTGCACAAGATACTTAGGAGTTGACTAACCTTTGTTATTTGTCTTTTCTATAGCGTTTTCGAGGGAATCTTTCCACCGCGGTTCAGTGGACTCAAGCGACTTTGACGCGTTTTCCATCGATGCCTCTGATGATATTTGACCCGATGAGGTAGATCTGAACCACGAAATTGCAGACTGGACAATTGTTGTGTTCATCTGTGGTACAGGATTCTTGGCGACTAGATCATAAAATGGGAAACAATGATAGTGTATTATATATACAATACCCTTCGGCTCCCTTGTTCGGTTCGTCGTGGGTGGTACATTACGTATGGGTTGAAGAACCCTAATGCGCATATTATCGTGCAAATTACGATGTAATCTAGCGGACAAAAACAACCGGCTGTATCACTGGACGACGCTATAAGCAGGTAACTCATCATCTGCGCTCCCAGAAGACCCAGTCAAGCGTCCAACATGTCCTTCGACTCTCCATTGCCACTCATTCGCCTCCTTCCACCGAAACACATCACCACCAAAATTCACCTCAAACTCGTTGCGACCCTCTACACCGATAGCGGCGTAAACATCGTGACGATGTCTGGGAAGATATACCCCAGTAAAAGCGGGAGGTAGTCGGTAACCGTTATACGTGAAGAATATACTGCTGGTGGAGAATTCGTAGCCACACCCGATGGTGTCTCCAGATACGATGCGACTGAGTGCGTCAGTGTAGTCTCTTCCTCCGTCGGGGTCTTCGAAGAATTTACGAAGGTCGTCGAGATGTAAGCCCGCGCTTAGTCTGTTCCATCCTGGAAGTCTCCAAGAGGGATAAGGTCGGCAGGAGGTACCTATCATAATCCACTAGTTTAATTCATGAAGTGATCAATGAGCGTATGCTTCTTACCGACAGCTATGATCCCGTCCATCCTATTAATCTTTATTTCGTAGTACATACCCGTCTTGCCTTGAATGTCATATAGACCTGCCATCAAAGGCAGATCGCTCAACAGACATGTGTCCTGACAAGCAGTGTCTGTGACCACCCTGACCACTCCCGGTCCTCCCTTGCTATCGTTCTGTACCCGCCCAGCGAAACGTGATCTAGGCGGGGTAACGATGCCCCAGGCTCTGCAACCCTCAGCTGCGATTCTGTCAACGACATCTGAGGGGAGCAGTCTCGGGGCTTCTGGAGGATTGTTTGCGCAGAATTTCTCTGCTGCTGTGTATTCGTCGTCCGTAGCTTCGTGCAAGAGACCGAAAACATGAGATGTTTCTGGTGCAGGCGCCCATTGAGGAGGTGGAATTGCGTGAGCGGCTTGTTTGCCTTTGCGTTGGAACCAGGACATGATACAATAATTAGAAAAAGATGAAAGACAATAGACAGAGAGTTATTTGTATTCCATGGCGACTTGAAGACTGAGAATTCTGACCTTGTGGTCACTGTCTCAAGGCAATGTATGGCTGTGATTTGGGACGCAAGCAGTTTTCTTCTTTTGGGACCGTCCAGCTGCAACTCGCCCCGCCAGTTCTTTATGACATTTTCTGATCCCAAAGTCCTTTCCAACAGAACATTCTAAAGCCAAAATGCTGTTCTGTCCAACCTGTGCAAATCTGCTCGTCATTTCTGCAGAAACTGGATACAACAAATGGGCATGCAATAGCTGTCCTTATGAATTTCCCATTTCGAAACAGGTACGCTGAGAGCGTGAAGGCTTAGGGTGGAAGATATGATAGAAGGTCAACGGAATTTCTGATTTGTTTTTATTTCTGGAAATGTGCCTGTAGATGACATCTAGGACGAAGTTGAAACAAAAAGAGGTGGACGACGTCTTGGGAGGCGATGAGATGTGGAAGCATGCAGATTCTACAGCAGGTGGGTCACATAAGCTTCAGATTCGTTTTGCAAGTAAAATTTAAGCTTGTGCTTGACCAGCCGATTGCGATAAGTGCAATCACGGCCGAGCATACTTTTATCAGTTGCAGATTAGGTCTGCTGATGAACCCATGACAACTTGTGAGTCTGCTACTTTTATATTTTCCCTATGTACGCTTCTAAAGATTTCTCGTGTAGTTTACCGGTAAGGCATTCCCGTCGATTATATCCATTTCTCTTAGTATCTTTGCAGTTGCGCTGGCTGTGGATATCGTTGGAGAGAGAACTAGTTTCAGATGCCCTAAGGACTTCAGGAGCAAGCAGTATCACCATCTGTGAGCCATGTTCAATACTTCTTCGCGACGCGGTATTGACGCATCTCCAGCATATGAGTACTCCAGATATTTATCCCTACCTCTAGGCTTCGATGAAGGCGATAGCACAAGTGCATCGAATCGACGCTCACCTCAAAAAGCACCCTTCGTGAGATCTCACTCGTGACTGATACCGTGCAAAGAAAGAAGGGACAGGTCTTGGATTACTCTAGGTAGTGAAATAAATACCATACTGCCAATTCTGTAACTCGAGTGCTTTTGACACTCCAAGTTGAGGTCCTTTTGGCTGCAACGTACACGATTTAAAAGTAGTAGAGCTCGCTTTTAGCCAGATTACATCCGGGTATATTCTATATATTCCATTGTGGGGGGCATCGCCGCCTAGGATCACGACTTATGAGGACGCAGAAACACCTCGAGAGCCTCACACACGACACTTCAACTCGCCACCGACCATAGCAATCGTCGCGCCGAGACACCATCCCAGCTCGGTGCCATCGATCTGCTTGCCCAATGCAACTTCGCGAGTATCTCCAAACTCATATCCCAACTTCAACAACGCATGCATAAACGTGAGATCGAGACACCACTCTGGGCGTCCATCCAGCTCGTCCATCGCCTCACTGTTGTCTCCCCATCGTTTCTCCCATGCTGTGCGTCCACGACAGACATCTGTTGCGATGTTTGCGATTGTGGATACGGTGAGCGGCGACTGAGATTGCAATTGCGGGGATATGAGGGGGGTGATGCGATCATAGAAGTAGGATAAAAGGAGAACCTTCCCAGAGGGGAAGGTATCTAGCAATGAAGGCTGATAGACACCGTCAAATGAGCAAGGTTTGAGCTCACAAACACTGTGGCCAATAGATAAGTTCACCATACCGAGAAAGAAAAGAGCAGAGAAGACATACGCATCCTTCGCCATCACCAGCTCCAACACCCGATTACAGGCGTCAAAGCTCCCAATATCTCCACCAGTCATCAAGACGCTCTTGCTCTCCTCCGAACCATCTTCGATATCCACGACCTTTTGCGTACCCTGTGCCAGACATGGATTACCCACCGCAACAGGTTCTGTACCCGTACGCCCTGTACGTAGAGTCGACATGAAATCTACGACACGATGTACGCTCGCTCTCGCGCGCATGAGACCATAGCCCAGATAAGAGTGCTGGTACAGCACCCTCGTCTGCCCACCAAACTTCAAGTCATACTTGTGCTCACCCTCCTCAAGAGCGACATCCGGAAGACCGTCGTCAAACTGAGGCTCAAACACAATCTGCGTAGACGCTCCACCCAAATCCAGTACAGCATACGTTGGCGTGCCGGGAGCAGTGTCCGCCCGGATAGTGTCGAGCAGGTAATTCGCCGTAATCCACGCGTAGACGCCCTCGTCTTTGCCGTCCATGATGACAACGGCATCAGTGTCTGGTAGTGGGAAAGGGTATGTGTCAACGAGCCGTTGGCGTACAGCATCTAGGATGGCCGTGCTTCGCTCAGTGCCCAACAATCTCAGGCCAGCGGTCGCCTTTACCGCGACCGGCGTACAGCTCCTGAGTTGCTCCGGTACAACATGCAGCGCCTCATCAAGCAGGACATCAAGGCTCTTAGCGGCAGCTTCTGGGTGACCTTTGTAGTCGTCTGATGAGAGACCAGGCTGTGTCATCTTGAATACCTCGTACTCGTAAGATGGAGACGAGCCGCAGTTGTTGAATTTGTAAATGTGAATCCTTGAACCGGTAGAGCCAGCGTCTATCATAAGCGCATACTGAACAATGGGAGAGCCAGCCTTGAATGGGGTGGTGCAGTGAACGGTTTTCAGCGGGTCAGGATCAGTGGCAGGGGACGTTGGGCGTGTCGACGGTTCCAAAGGTTCTGTGACTGTGACTGGGTCTTGAGTAGGTTCAGAAGGCTTGCCTGTTGCTTCAGGTATGACAGGCTGCGGTGGTACATAGACATCCTCGAGTCCTGGTGTTGGCAGCTCTGCCACGACCACACGTTAGACATTTCCCAGAGCCAAAAACGTCGTAAACGATATCACAATAAACTGTTACACACCTGGAACATCTACTCTTGGACCAAAAAAGTAGACAAGCCCTATAAGCACAGCAGTGCCAATAGCCAGCTTCTTCCATGCGAATTTTCTGTTCATCCTGCTGGGACCTAATCCGCCTTCCAAGCGCTCGTAGTTGCCGCTTCTAGGCGATATGGGGTACATTTTCCGTGCACGAACCTCGCCTCTGAGGTCGATAGAGGTCGAACGCGCAGGACGATGGTGGCTGAGAATGGCTGCTGATGTAAATTTGGGAGTTTTCTAGACACGAGGAAACTGTGGCAGGAGAAGAGTGGAACAACGCCACAATGGCTCTTTTCTCATCAGCTCTAAGCTGGCGCCTACAATAATAATACTGTGCTTTGACTACCACCGCATTATCACTCCATGTTCACTTCAGTTAAATATCAAAATACTTTTATAAAGTAGCCAAAATGATCACATTTTAAACATTGGACGAGACAGGGTCATGGTACTTAAGGCATAATAGAAAGCGCGATAGACTTGAAAAGAAAGAATGCAGTAATAAAGAGGACCCAGGAATATCGAAACATCAGACGGGAATACTAAGGGAAGATGTCAAAAAAGGGGATAGAAAGTGGTGGTCAGGGACAGGGGATACGACGATACTCCTAGCCAGTGGTTAGGGAATGATGGTGAATATAAGTATACACGGAGCATCGAAGGGGGCAGCCAAAGAAGAAGAAAAGGGGATGGGGATGGGGATAGGGGAAGTCGGCTATGACTATTATGCATTTGTCCAAGCGGGGAGATGGGTATAACAAGCAACACAACAGCGACGAGGAGACGAGGAGAAACGCTTTAGATATCAGGGAAAGGAGGGCATTCAATGTTATGGCTACGAAGCAGCGCCTGACATGTCAACGCCCGCGATTTCCAGACCTCGCTCTCGCGTTTGTACTGTTCAACATTATCTTCCAACTCCCTCTGGTACTCTAGCTTGCGCTTGCGGCTCCGTCGCGCTGCAATGGTATTCTGGCGTCGCTTCGCCTCAATCTGCTCTTGCTCGGTCATGGAGGAATTGATGACAACATCTTCGTTCAGTTGATCTTCCTCGTCTCCAAAAGCCTGTGACCGAGCACGCTTGCGAGCAAAGATGGCAGGAACCTCTTTCCGCGACGTCACCGATGGTGTGACGTACTTGCGAGGCTGAGTGGGAGCATCGATAGGAACAAGAGCAGCGGGCGTGATGTTGCGCCGAGTACCAGTCGGAGCGGTCGTTCTACGCTTCGAAGTAGATGGCATCGCTACGTTAGAGTATTGCGGCGAGGACTCAGCCGACGAATTATCGAGGAATGGTGTTGCGGGGGATATGGAGTACATCTCATCCAGGTTAGGAGGAAGTACGGGAGGAGCAGAAAATTCATTCCGAGGCTTCGGCTCCGCAAATAGGGAGTCATAATTGCCATCATCGAAGAAATAGTCATTTCCAAACGAATGGAAGTCACCCAAGAAAGGACTTGTCAGGATATCAGCACCGATATCGGCAGATCCCATGGCGGGCGTAGTCAGCATCTCATCGTCCAAGGGCGAGTCGATAAGAGGCGACGTCAGATACTCCGAACCAAAGTCATTTGACATTTGTAGTTCGGGCGTAGCTGTGCGGCGGCACCGCATTAGCATTGCTGTATAGCATCGCACCACTAGTGACTCACCTTTCAGAACTTCCATAAGAGTCTGAATGGTCTCCGCATCAGACATTTGCGGAGTAGCCATAGGCTGCGCCGAGTCACCAGAGGAAACATCGGTCGCAGCATGGTCGTCGGGTTTTTGAGACAACATAGTCAAATAGTTCGAGCAAAGGTTTACAAAATCAGGTTCTGGTGGTTGTGTATTAGCTGAGATATCTCCGTGTGCTGGTGGTCTACGGGGAGTTGTACGAGGTGCTGGAGGCAGAGACTGGGGTATGCCATAGTGGGCAGCAAGATCCGAAAAGTTATTGAAGACCTGGTTGAACGTCTGAGGACGTGCAGAGTTACTGTTTATCGCGACATGGCGAGTTGTAGAGAAACTTGAAAGTTGGGAACTTCCAAGGGGAGACGAAGAGTTGACATTTTGAGTTGGGTGGAAAGATTGACCAGGAGAGTGCGGGTGAGGCGGACGATTTACAGGTAGCGGACGGTCGGGAACATGTTGAAAGTTGTATTGTGTGTATGGGTTAAAAATGGCGGAGTGAGGAAGCGTGTTTGCGACTAGCGATGGATATTCCGGCAACGCTTGAGGAGGCCGGGGGATTTGTCTGTAACCAAGTGATGGCAGGGTCGTCAGTTCTCGGTTCACATCAAGGTTTTTACAATCGCCTCGATGGGCCAGCGACAATGCACGATGACTGTGTGAACGATACTGAGAATGATAACTGGACTGCCGTACCGCCGAAGTCTGTGATTGCATTTGCCCATATGGCGAAGCACGAGACGATTCGGCCGACATTATTGTCGAAGGTGTATTATCGCAGTCAGATACAAAAGCCACGCGCATTCGGAACCGCGAGAGCACACTTATCGAACGTGATCGACAGATAATGGGTGCGCAGGCGATGCCGAGCAGACAAAAAAGGGCACGTAGGCCAATAGATATGATTTCAGAGAAATGAAAATGACTTGACTCACGGATGGAGGATGAATCGCCAACGGTCAACTCGTGGACGATGACTGGGCTACTCTAAGGTGCCAATCTGGTGGTGGTTAGGGGGGAAAATGCTCAGCACGATTTGTGACTCGGTCTAGCTTATAAGGCCAGTTTTCACAGCATTTCAAGCTCAGAACCGCCAATGTCCACTAATCCGGAAAAAAGGCACTGCAGGCGCTTACATCAACCGCTGACCAATAATATCCTTCCACTGCATATTTTTCGAAATTCGTTTACAAAAATTCGTTGACATGCACAGGAATTCACAATACAGAACAGTGCATTCGAATGGTAGCTGGTCTGTCGATACACGGCCAGCCTTGGGCGGACAAGTACAGCGTAGCCCAAGGCACATGGAGAGGTAGCCAATGCCGGCAGTCGCGTTCTCCCATTACGTGAGACTCAGCGAAACTGGAAAATAATTGAATCTCTAATAGCCATCGGGGCGCTGAATGATGGGTTCCACATGAGTGCACAAACTGGGCGACGGGTTTGGCCTGTAAAGTCAATGCAAAGTCTTTTCCCAGCTGCGACGACAGCGCATTACCCCACGCAAGGAGCGGACTCTCCTCCCTCTGAGGGGTAGCAAAGTGGGAAACAGGCGCTGCGATGCACAGCACGTAGCCAACGGCTACGGAGCACGGGACGTGGATGTCTGTAACAAAAGACTGTGCACCTGTCCGCTGTATCCAATCAAATCACAGAAATTTAGACGCTCTCCATCTATCAGTGACATGTCGGCAAGCAATCATGCGGTCAGCGACGCCCGCAGTGGGGAAAACTGCGCGGCAGTGCGACTGGTCCTACGAAAATACCCGCTGAGATAACGTCGTGGTCGTTTTGCATGGTTGCATTTTAATTTCCAAACTGTAGTGTGACCGCAGATGCGGGCGGTAGCACAAATTGCTCCGCATTTGATCTAGAACAATATTTGAAGATCCATCGGTCCATTTGGGAGCTGCTGAGTAACTGAGTTCATTTGAGACCATGCTATAGTCGGCTCTCTTGAATTAAAAAGCCAATGCACTGCGCCGCAACATGTAGTCGCTGTTGTACGTGAAAATGAGCCCAGCATATTGATATGTGAAGGAACGCGATATGATTGCGATAGTCTTGAGCGCTAGAGCAGACGTTACGCATTCCCGCGAGCTGATAGAAACCTACGACAGTTCCCTGGTAGGACACGTGCGTAGCAACCACCCCTCGGTACCGCCGAGTTATCCCAGCGGAGGACAGCCGGGCCGGCAATAGGATGAAAACGCAACTCCTCGAGCCATTGTCACAAATTGATTCGACCACTCGCTTACCATCGGCGTTAAAAGCAGGGTACAGGAACCGACGAGCCGCAGAGATGGCGAGAACCTCATCGGTCCTACAACGCTATAGTGACTCTGAGGCGCCATATTCAATGGACATGATATGGATCTGTGTCTTCCGTCCCGCACTGTGCGAAATAATCAGCGCTTGATAAGTCGGTAAGAACCAATGACCGACCACTGTTTCGAAAACCTTTCCTGAACTTCTCCTACCACTCCCAGTAGTATAGCTCAACTGTAAATGGTTGATGCTTGTCCATGGCTGAAATCACACGTGCCCAGCGGCTACCACATAGACACCAAGCGGTGTTCTTAGATACAAAGGTACACGCCCAAGTTGCCAGTTGCACCGAAACACCACGAACAAAGCGGATGTTCTCGAGTAGACGAGGCGTCAAAACCGAGGAGGTAGTGTACTTGCCGCGAAGGAAAGGGAGGAGGCACCAAGATGACGATATGCCGTAAATTACGCTTGATCTCCCCATCAGAATATTGTATCTTTAGTTCCTCGAGAATCGCGGATAAGACTTTCCTCCGAGCCGATCGAACAATGCATGCAACGAATGGGATGAAAGAATTTCCGATGGTCAGTCGTCGTCGAATGGAGATACACAATGTGCTGCTATACTAGAATGGGTTAAGTTCCGTGTTGAAGAAACCTAAGCCATCTCCGTCTTTTTTGAGCTGGTGTTCTGTTAGTCTAACCTGATCCCCCTTTCGCCTGTGCATCAACACAGCAATCTTCTTACGCAGATGTCTGCAGCGTTTCCTTCAAGTGCAATTCAGTTCGGATTGAAAGATAAAAAGAACAAACTTGACCTGCAATGAAGATAGGAAGTACACTCCTTGCTATAATCATCGTCATGTGTAAAACCCCATTGCTGAAGCTATGATGAGCATCGCTACCAGGGTTTCGCGTTTAGCAGGAATACTCAAGAAAACTCGTCGAGCGTAGAACAGTGGGTGGTGCTCGGGGTAAATAAAGCTTATAGGGTCATTCGGATATTTGAATGAGTATTCCGCCTAAACTATGAGTGTTAGTAGCGTCAACAGTCCAAACTAGCAAGCTCACCATAGATGCATCAGTCGTTAGTGCTTAGTAAGGCACTATGAATGGTATGAAAAGTAGTTGAGTTTTCACCTTGCTCGTCATTCGTTTTTTCGAGTTAACTACCAAACTTGAAACCGGACAACGAGTTCAACTGGCCCTCAAACTCATTGTTCGGTTTCAAATTCAGATGGTGATCGCGACTCGATCAAAATCCTTGAAGCATGATGCCCCAGGCAATCAGAAAAAACGACGTGATTAGAACAGGGTAAATGAGCGACGAATGGTAGTCAGACGGTACTGGAAACTTCACGTTCTGCATTTATCGCTTTGTAAGTGCAGATTTAAACATACCTATCCCGAGCAAGGCGAATGGGGATGTGGAAGAACAAAAATCCAAGCTGTCAGCATTTCAGAAACTTCGGGCAGCAACGTGTACGTGAATTCATCATAGAATCTTATCCAGCTGATGCGATGCATGAATCAGCATGATGGGCTGTACGTGAAGGAAGTACCGGCATCGCCACTTTACGACATGAACAAGAAAACAAGTTGACTCACGTCCACAATTTAATTTATCTACTTACTATTGCGAGAAAATACCAAAGCCTCAGCTCAATAAGCAGTTCCCATATCACTTCGTACACTGGAGTCTGGAAGAGCAAAGAACTTGAAAGTAGAGTACGTTGAAAGGGTGCGATGACTCGGATGTGGTACTCTAACCTGTATGAGGTCACGTGTATAAGTCTTGGCAAAAACAATGGTCTGAGTCAATCAAGGCCATCAGCCTCATATTCAGAAGTGAAGGAGACCCGTTAGATGTAGAGCTCGAAGGGTTCAGATCATTCTGTCAGGGTGAGTATCTTCATGCTGTCTTATCAGTTATGTGCTTATCAACAATAACAAGGTGGACTTTTGTCAAGGTGTTCATCAATTAAATAGCAACCATGCCACGGTATCTTCCCTCCGTGTTGGCTAAGTTAGCGCTGATTTATTTCTTATTTAGTTATATGGAATGCGGCCCTTGGGGAATCTTATTTTGGCTTTTGCTTTTAAGGCAGATACTCCGAGTCGCCTGTGGTTCTTCATTCCCTGTCCCTTCGTTGCTCTTTGTAGTCCCCTAAAAATAATATCGAGTCATTCTACTCTCCAGAGCATAAACCACACTCGTTTCATCAAAAAGTACTGCAGCTATGCAACTGATCATTAGCTCCGTTTTCCTACTTTCAGCTATCAAGTTATCTTTCGGGGCTACCACCGGAGATACCTCAGAAGTCTCCTTGTATCAAAATTATGAGGGGGTCATTCCAAATGTCAAATCTGCCATGTTGGCTTCCATCAGAACCAGGTGAGCAACAATCTTGTCCACATATTTTTGAAATATCTTCGCTTACTTTCTGTATCAAGCTGGGAACAAGGAACCGCAGCGGGAGGTATCCTCGAATACGACAACCCTGAATACTCCGTTTTCGGCCGATCGCCATTTACCTCCAATGGTAAAGAGCCAATCTCAGCTCTCCAACTTGCATACAGTGCAGCAGTCCGCCAAACTGCCGACGGTCGACTTAGTCAAAACATTGGTGATGCGTTGGATGGGGCAGCCCTCGACGGTGCATCCGCAGGGTCTGTGGTGCTCATGGGTTTGCGCACTCTCGGTTTATCACGAAAACTATTTGTACTATCTATTTTTCAGGTAGCTTCACGGACGAATCCCGCAAGGCGTACTGGCTTAATGCCTCTGAAGCAGAACTCAACTATGTAAGCGATTTCCCGTCTAGATTTCACTGATTTTTAACCATCATTCTCTGGAAGATTCTGAACGTTGCACCACGTACTTCCACTGGCGCAATTTCTCACAGAGCAGATTCACGTCAATACTGGTGATTGCGGCTCTCATATTTACATTTACAATCGTTAACACCTGGGATAGGGCTGATGGTGTATACATGGGCTTTCCCTTCATCGCTTACTACGGAGCAGTCACACAAAACCAAACTTTACTTCAAATCGCGTATGATCAGTGCCGCCTCTATCGTGATGCACTCCTGCTCGATGGACCCACTGGAAAACTATGGGGACACATCTACTCTGATGACACCAAAACCTGGACCGACAAAGGACTTTGGGGAACCGGTGAGCGAAACTTCCGCATTCCCCTTTCCGGCTTACTGAGCCACTATGGCACACACAGGCAATGCGTGGGCTGCACTCGGTATGTTGCGCGTTGCAGTCACAATACAAAAGGCCAACTGTGGTAGCGGTATGACGGGCCAGGTGTCTGACTTGATGGCCTGGGTCAAGGAAATTCTCGATGGCGAGTTCGCAGCACTGGTGCGTAGCTCTCATCTTTGAAAAGGCCTTAGTTTGATGTTGTATAAATTAATTACTATCAAGACCTCGGAGAACCTCATTCCAGACTATGTCATCGGTGGACCTACCTTCGACGATGCCTCCGCATCGGCTGCTCTGGCCTCCGTTGCCTATCGCTCTGTTACGCTTTTCCCTCACCAATTTGGCTCGAACTATACCACTGTCGCAAACAAGCTCCGGGATGCTGTGCTAAGCAGAGTCACAAATCTTGGAACATTGAGCCCTGTCGTCGACCCTCTCAATTGGGATGCACAAGGACTGCTGTCCACTGAAGCACAGTCTTTCGCTCTGATGATGTTCTCTGCGTGGAGGGATGGTCTTGGTCTCTAGTTTTTTGCGCTTTCGTATCTTTCGGTGTTTATTAGCATGTTATACCAACCTGTGATTATACCGGTGTTATTCAGTTGATCTTATTCTCCTTATGGCCTTACATTTATACCGCAAAGAATTGGTGTACCTAGTTGACAATCTCAGATTCATTGCTGATGTTTGCTTTATATTGCTGGCCATCTGATTTTTGGTAAACCCTTGCAAGGACTTGTAAGGTTTCTTACTCCTAGCTCAGACAACGACCCTACACACTCCATTATCTTAGTCTGGTCCGAAGTAAGGATCTTGGCTCCTCCACAGCCACTGTTTTGAGAGAAGTGGTTATTCACCAAGTTGGGGAAGCAAGTCACTTTGAGTGGCACCCAGCCTCCCTCCTCTCCCCAGGCAGACCATAATAACCAGCTTTGGCAAACAAATGCTGTAACAACGTAAATACATGCTTCTTATATAACAAACATATGTAAATATCATGTGAAAGAACAATGGTGGCCACAAAAGGCCGGTTATAATCATAGAGTAAATAGCATCGTTCAGAGTAAAAGGCTAAGCGCGACAGGGTCTGTCGCCTAAATTCGGCTGTTTTCAAGCAAAGCCACGTCATCAATCTGCAATTCTAGTTACCTAAGGATAAAACTGGCTTTCATCAAAAATAACAGAAAATACTAATATTTATTTGAAGTGGAGATCAGATCTTCAATCGGCGCTAGAAGTTCACTGGGGTACAGGGGAGTTACTCTATTCAACAACGCCCCACCTGGCATTGCAGCATGTCTCACGAAAGGACAGATTGCGGCGACGAGAACGAACAGGACCTTGACCAAGTTGACGATGGGTCTTCAAAGACTTTTACCAGCTGTTTCACGGACCCATCAGAACAAATCAACACACAAGATAAACCTGCTCTCCCTTACATCTCCTGGACAGATTCTCATATACATCAGTTGATAGAATGGCTAGAGAAGCATCCGAGACACCGTCAGATGCTTTTTTTGGACTCTAGGTCTGTAGTCAAGGATGAAGGGAGGCCAGTCGTCAAGAACACCAAAAAAGTGAAGGAATATATCCATGAACAGATCACAAAGCACGTCTTCAAGAGTGACTCTCAAGAAATGATGCATGTTGCTGTTGATCACCACCGCAAGAAGTTTGGCGTTTCTGTACAGAATCGATTAGCAATGCATGTATTTTGCTTATATGTTGTCTATTATTTTAATAACCAAACTATATAGATTGGGCAATAAATATAAGGCACTTGTACGAGGTCTTTCGAAGACTGGTCAGGGTATAACATCGGAGGAAGCATCGCAGGGTTTTGATAACTCTTTTTGTAAGTCTGTAGATATATTGAAATATACCTCATTAAAACATTTATCAGAGAAAATCTGAAAGGACTTCAAGTGGTGGGATTGGTTGCATGCATTCTGGGAAACATTGCCAAAATATAACGCTAAACCAGTGACAGGGTCCAAGGGCCAGTACATTGACTCTCAAGCTGTGACTCTGTTGTTCCCGATACATGCTGATCATGATGCTATGGCTCAGGGCATTCATTCAGCAGCATGAACAGGAAAGGCTGTCTACGTCTACTAGTGGTGATGGTGGATATCCTACTGCATCCTTTCAGCAGCCTGGTGGGTCTAGCCATCAGCCGGGTCCAAGCTCTCGTCCGGTAGTATTGCTGTCATGCACCAAAGTTGATTGGTAGCATGGACAGGTGTCAAGAATGAAGCAAATATTCAAAAAGACTCACCTTTGCGCCACACAGGCACAGTGCCACATGGAATAGTAATTAATATTGCCTTTTTTGAACTTGTGGCTGATCAGCACCACTTCTATTAGGCAATCCAGTCGCATTCACCTTTGCTTTTCCATTCAGTACTTTCTGCATTTCAGCATTTCGGCAAATTTTTGCGTCACCACTGGCTACACATTGCGCCCTCACTTTTGTCGCCCTCCCTTACCTTTTTTTTCTTTACTCAGTCCCACCATGCTAATATCAGCAAAGCCCCGGTGGCCGGTCTGAATTGGGCAAAAGGTCCATCTTCATGACGTCGATCTGATCTTCCATCATATACCATCAAAAAATCGGTCGCTCGTCTTGCCTGGTTGGAGCGTGGGTGGGTAGTTTTTGAGCTGGAGAAGGTTCATCCCCTTGCGTTGCCCATGTACATCGCCGTCCCATTCACTTGGGTACACTTATCTTTCGTCCATTGTCTTTGCTACAGCTACAGCTACCACACACTGCCTGGCTCACTTGTTCCAAATTGGAACTACTCCCCTCCCTCCCTCGTTTGACCAGGTGGTCCAGTACAACCAGTCCATTGGTAAGGCCATGGAACCGTCGGATTTGGACTAGGTGGTGGACCGGTGGCTCCAGTTTCTTTTTTTCAGCAGAACATTCATTTACAGTGCGATTATTTTTGATTTTTGAATCATTTTATGGACACATATTGTTTTCAAATGCCTGACTGACAATAAAGGAATTGTGTTGATACTGATATTTTTTTCTTTATCCTCTTTTTACTGCATCTTCCCATGACTTTATGATTTTCTTGCTTTTTTTCTGTTTTTGGACTTTATTTTATGGCTGTACAAACCTGTGACATTACTTACACAGCATTTATTGTTCTATCTCTTTCTTTTCCTTATTTTGACAATCTTATCCTGTACTACCTACACAGGATTTGTCAGCATACATTCTTTCCTTCATGTTCTTTCTCATTCTTTTTGCACAGCTATACTGTGCATAGCCTCCCTTTCTTTTACTATATAAACCCCTGTATTTTACCTTGTACAAAAACACAACAAGAAATCCAATCCAGACTTCTTCTCTAAATCTTAAGTTCACTACTCTGCTACTTGTGATCCAGTGTGGTCACAACACTTCCCACTGTTACTACTGTTAACTGCTGTCATCGTCACTTGTCACTTATTGAAAGTAATTGTCATCCCTTTTGATTAGAGTCCATCTGAGCATAACAGTTTGTGCATCAGGAGCCTGCTATCACTGGGAACCTTGTTATCTTGTCATTCTCAAACCTACCTTGTGCTAAGATTAGCAAGGTAGTGCTCATCCTATATTCATCTCAAAAAGCCCCTATCTTCTATAGTTGAACTATCCCTCCTCCTCAAAACCCACACCCATACATCTCTGGGTTTTACTTTGAAGGATCATCATACATACCACCCCACAAACAACCAGAGCACCCACTGTTCTAGGAGGCAAAGCCCATAAACAAGTTTTGTGGAATCTGGGAGGATTGTGTGTTAGTTTGTTTTGTGTGTGGTTTTCTAACAACAGTTCTCATCATCGACATTGCATAGTCGTTCGTCCCATATTAATATGCCCCCACTCAGTGTAGTTGTGCAGCAGTTCACGATGCCACAAACCAATACCTGTTTTGTTCACAATGCTCAATTTCAGCGGCCTGAGCAGTATACGAACATGCCTCAGCAGCATGGCTCCACCACTAACATTGTGTACCCCTACACTAATCCGGTTGCTTTCTCTTCGTCCAACCCCACTATATCATTTTTCTCTTTCAACAGTGCTCATGCATCTTCCGTCTTACTTCCTAGCATGGTATCTGGCAGTTCTGCATTGGCAACATCTCTTCCCATTGATGTGGCAACATCAACAATGTCAGTCACAGCAGAATGTTGGAAAAATATTCAGGCTAGTGCCATTGCTCTTTGTGGGAAGTCCCCTACATCGTCAGGCCATGGATGGACAGCAAGTATTGCTGATAGTACCACATCCAGGAGGAGTAAAGGGAAGTGTGCACGTTCAGATGAAGGTGAAGAGGCACACGCATGTGTAACTGAGGCTGACTTTCTCAAGAAGGTTATGGGGCCTATTATTGCAGATGCCGATGAACGTTCAAATGACAAAAAGTGCCTGAAGGGCATTCAGACCATCGAGAGCATCCGAAACAAGAACTTGAAGCTCGAATACGATATCACATCACTCTGGCGAAAAAGGGTGAGCAGGCAAACATTGCAAAGGTTAATGTGGAACACAATATCGAGATAGAGAAGATGCGTATTGCAGCTGAAGTGGAGGTTAAAAAGTATGAGATTGAGATGCGGTACAAAATGGACAGGGGACAGGAACCTGAACTGTCATCATCTGCTTCTGTCAACGCCGAATTTTCTAGGTCATCTTTTGCCCATTCTACTGTGTCTATTCATCCCCCACTCGATAATTTTGATGCAGCACTCGCAAATAGTGACCAAAGTGACCCTCGTGGTCTTACTAACATGCAGCCTCTGCTGAACACGCTATCACCATCTATTCCTGCTGCTGCTGGTGACTTGCATTCTTGCCAATCTCAAGACTATTTTCAAACCGGAGATTACTTGTTCGACTCCCAAATCCATTACCAGCAAGGCAATGAAGACAACAGTGGGCTGAATGTCATGCATGGTAGTGCATTCAGCATTCACACAGGTGGGTTAAGCACTGATGAGCACGTCCAAAGTTGTTGATGGGGACATTAGGTTTTTTTATTGTCGGAATACATTTTGCTATGTTGAATTATGTGTCGCTATGTACCTGTTTTCATGTATCCCTGCTTTCTTGTATTGCTTAGTATGAACAATATATGATGAAATGATCAAGAACTTTTTATTCAGATTGAATCAAAAACTGTGCGAGCATAGAGAGAATTGACTGGAACTAAGTACAACAATACAAAGAGCTAGAGAACAGATCAACTACCAATTTTTCACGGAGGTCTCGGGGCAGGTTCACAGGCATATTTTTGCCGTTGTTATCTCCCACATCCTCAACACCATCTGCTAATAACTCATCCAATTCCAACTGCCAGTCCCTATTGATATTGTTGCGTGAATTGTGGTCCTGGCCTTCCATGCGGATGATGAAATTATGAAGAATGAAACAGCACTGAATCCAGGAAATGGCATAATCAATTTGTCGGCTGGAACTGATTTGAATGCGAAGTTCTTTGAGCGATTGGAAACATATTTTGAGCAGCCCAATGGCATGCTCCGAGCGAATTCAAACATGGAATAGATGATAGTTGAAATGGCATTTTTAACAGGTAAACACCTGGTTGGGGACTCGCTTGAATGGCGAAACACATGTTGGAGACACAGGATAAGCTGAGTCGCCCCACAGCCATTCACCCGCAGTGAAAAACTTCTCTGGTGTTTGATAAATGGTGGTGTCACGAAAAGCTGACAAATCATGGATGCTACCTGTGTGTCCGAGGCCATAGTCAACAATTTTCAGGTTGTGGGGTAAAGTTGTAATCTATATATATATTTGTCAGTAGCAGTCAGTCATAAAATGCAAAAACAAAAACATACCTGTTATGATAACACATTTTCAGACCTTTCCTTTTATTTTTCATTCTCCGCTTTAACCTTTTACTATAGTTTTCACACATTGTGCCATACGGCACTTTCCTTTTGTTCAAACTCCTCTTTCTCGCGCTGCACTGCCTTTCTTCTTATTTTAGTTACAAGTCTCTCACGCAGTGGAGCTGGTCACACGGGCTGTGCCCTCTGACATCATCAGCCACTGCTTTATCAACTATATAGTACAACATGTACAAACAACCTGTAGTAGTATAAATACCTCAATAGATCCAGGAGACTCCTCAGCGAGTCCTCCTATTGTTTACCCACAACTAACTTGGTCCTACCTAAAGGGTAACCACTCCCTCATCACTACCTTTATAGTTGGTCCTAGTTGTGCGCCAGAGTAACTAACTCTTGGTTGTTACAATACCTGGGCGTTAAGAGTAGTTTGATTTTCTGTCAAAGAATGTTTCACCATGATGGCCTGGCTTTTGAAACAAGTTGAAGGTTGTCCCATCGACTGACAGATAGCCATTCTCCCAGGCCTCACAGACTTGTTTTTTGACCCATCTCTTCACCTCTGCCTTTTCCTCGTCAGTCGGAGGTGAGATCATCTCATCATGAAGAGATAAGACGGTGATCATAGTCCGCTTTGTGCAGAGCTCGACACTACCAACTGACACACTGGCCCAGTCAGCCAAATCGGCAGCAGTTTCCATAATGGCCAATACAATTTAAGAAGATGGCGAGTTGAATTCCGGTGGGAATTTGCTCGTTATTGGAATTAGTGGTAAATATCCAGTGACTCTGAATTTGTCCAAGGATTGCATCAAACGTGGTGGAATTCATACGAAGGATGTGTCAAAAGTGAGCATTATTATTAAGGCGCAACCACTCTAACAAAACAAACTAAGGCACACGAGGTGTGTGAGGATAAGTGTTAAAATGCGGGTTTTGTGTACATCTCGTTGTAAGCGTATATACTCTTTCACAAGAGTCTCGAGGTAAGAAACAGAAACCCCTGCAATTTGAGACCTTTCTCCTTCAAGTTTGTCATCATCAAAGAGGGAAAAGTCTGATTGCAAATGATCAGAAAGCCAGAGTCCATCATCGCCGTCAGATTCATTGTGAGAACATTGCTCGATTGAGATAAGATTTTGCAACAAGAAAATGAAAGCATTGTCGAGAGCACCGAGTCTCTGCTGATGCAAAATGGGGCAATTGCGACTCATGTTGGGGAATCACTCAGTGAGAGATCCTGTATATATAGTCTCAAGCCTCAAGGATACCTCCAGTATACCTCGAGTTTTTGATTTTACTCTGACTCATTTTTAATTTCCTGGATTAGCTCACCAGTCGGGATTCTGCATGCTACCCCTGCTTTCCATGCTTCCTTCGGTATGCGAGACTTGCCTAATCGATTTAGGCAGTAAGGGTGCTCTTAGCCTGTTACTCTGAACGATGTTAATCTTCGGGCAAAGCTCCAAAGTTTGCTTACATAATATAATTTCTACAGCCAGTCCCTCACACTTTTGTTTGCCCTCCATTTCTTGATAATCCTGTCCCACCTGGTCCTTTAGCCTCTCCTACCCCCTCTATATTCAAGCCCTTACATTTTGACATCTTCTACCCTAACTGCATCCACCACATTCTCATCATGCCATTTTCTCTTGTGTTTCAAATGCAAATACTCAGCAATTGTGAAGTCCCCACCACCATTGAGCCATTGACAACTTTTTTCTACATCACCTAGTCCTCAGGCTCCAGTCCTGGGTCAAAGTGGAGCTCGGGGGCTGTGGAGGCTACCCCAATTGTTGCCATCACAAATCTGCAAAGGTTTATCAGTCAGCTTACTGACATCTTGGGGAAAAATAATGTCAGTCCTGTAGAAAAAGTAACTGAGCACCAGATTTGAGCTACTAAGCTCATCCACAAGATTATGGGCTGACGAGTAGTTAGAAGGTTCATGTTATACTCTTGTTGATTAGTAATGTGGCCATCATATCTTCAATTATGTGAGCATCAGTGGCTGATTTTTCCTGGCTGGTTAAAGCACATACAAACTTCATATCAAATAAGCAGCTAAAAAGGAAATTCTGAGAAACACTGCCTTTGCAATTTCTAAATACCCAGCATTCAGAAGCAGGTGCCAGTGGGGCCACATGAATGTGACTTCCATCAAGAGCTCCCACTGTTACGATAACACAATTTCCGGACATCTCCTTTCCTTTTTATTCTCCGCTTTAACTTTATACTTTAAGTGCCACGCGGCATTTCCCTTTCTCGCGCCGCGTTGCCTTTCTTTTACTTTTAGACTTAACTCTCTCACACAGTGGAGCTGGCCATACGGGCTAGGCCCTATGACATCATCAGCCACTGCCTTCATCAACTGTATAGTATACATGTACAAACAACCTGTAGTAGTATATATACCCCAATAGATCCAGGAGACTCCTCAGCGAGTCCTCCTGTTTCAACAAACTCTCTGCAGCTTAAGGGGTAACCACTCCCTCAACATCTTCTTTATAGTGTGTTCTTGTGTGCGCCAGAGTAACTAACTCTTGGTTGTTACATTAGGACTCGCTCTTCTACTCTCTCGCACGTGTGTGCAAAAGTCCCATTGGGCACCCGGACTCCAGGGTGAAGGAGATTGGTTAGCGGTTAGGAATATCCCACATAGCAGATAGGTGCGCTCCTAGCGACGGCCTTGTAGTGCTTCGGGAGAAGAACGCAAACCTTCGATACGCGGCCCCCAGCGTTAAGGGGAGTACCTTAGCTCAGCAGTCGGTGTGGAACCACTGTTGATTAGATTTAGAATACAAACTTTCACTTTCGAATACCTCTGACCAGGCCGGGCACTTGCCTCCGCCAGTCTGGAGAAGGGTTGACAGCTTAACAAGCGGACCACCCCCTGACAACCGTTCGGACCAGGGTTTATTACAAACACATTTTTATATACCTTTTTAAATACTATAGTGTGGGTAGTCGGAGATTGAGATCCGATACTCAGCTGGGAAGAGGTTGATCCGCAGATAGCAAGCGGGGACCCCCAGTTACCTATTTTTACGTTACCCAAAGAGAACAAGTCGACATGTCGTCGCAACCCCAAGACATGAATGCGCTACTGCACGCAATGCATACGCAGATAGCTGCATTAACCTCGCAGCTCGCCGAGATACAGGCCAACCCCCCTGTAGCAACCCCCTCGGTAGAGAAAAAGTTTAACAAGAAAGTCGAAGTCGTCGCTGACCCTGGCGCCTTCGAAGGAGACAGAGCGCGATTTGCCGAATGGTGGATCAAGCTCCAGATTTGGGTCAAGGCGAACTGGGACGCGTTTGCCGACGATTTTGAGGTAGCCACTGCGGTGCTATCTCGCCTAAAAGGACCTGTGGCGGGTCGATACGCCCAAGTAAGACTCCAGGAATGCTACACCGCGGGAGTGTGGCCGACCTGGGATGATCTCAAAACCGAGATCAAAAAATATTTCAAACCGCAAGCTGAGCGTGACTGGGCGCGTCAGCAAATCCGTTCCTTCAAACAAGGAAACATGAGAACGGATGATTTCGTAACCCGGTTCCTGGCCCTCTCAATCCAAGGGGGTCTTGGCAATGAACACGCAGTGGAACTGCTAGAACGCAATGTGAACCCTCGCATTGCAGAACAGATCTATCTGCAGGATACACGAAGTGACAACTTGGCCCTGGCGGCTGAGGAAGTACGACGAGTCGGTAGAGCCATAGAGCTCTATACCATGCACCAAGGTGGCGGGTCCACCAAACAAAACAACACACCCCAGAGGCGTCCTGGGTCATCAAACCAACATCATAATCACTCTCACGGGTTCAAGCTGTTCGGGCTGCAGCCAGGACAGGGTGCTCCTATGGATATCGGCGCGGTCCAAGGCGGACAAATGCGCAGATTCAAGGGCAACTGTTACAACTGCGGCCAAGAGGGACACATGTCCCGAGACTGTAGAAACGGGGCGCAGGCTGCCCAACAAAAAAATAATCAAGGGCGCCAGGCGCGCCAACTAGAAATCGAGAAGCCGGACGATCGGCTCAACTCTTTGGCCGGTCGTTCTTACGACGAAATCCGGGCCTTCTTCTATGACCAACAGGTCAACGAAATGAAGGCTCAGGGAAAAGAATTCGGGGCTTAGGTCACTTGGGTGCCTTAGCTCCTGGTAAAAATGAAGTAAACCACAACAAAGTGGCCCCTGCTCCGGGGTGTTGCACGAGCAATAACGGAATGACGGGGATGGCTCCCCAATTTGTAAATAAGTTTTTAAATTTGTTATCAGAAGTATGTACTTGTATGAAGAAATGTAACTGCAATATTTATGATACTACCGCTGCACCAGCGTCTCCCTTGGAGCGTGGCCCCGGCGAGACAAACACTAGGGTGCTTGATTCTGGTAAAACAAAAATAGAAAAACATGTGTCATTCAAGATTCCTTCTTCTTCTTCTTCTTCTTCGGAGCCACCCTTTCCCGAAATCCCAAGGCGTGTGTTGATGCGCACGTATTTATTCCAAAAGGAGATCTGTTTAGACGTTGGCGTGGAAAACCTTGCCAGGGGCAAAGTACACTCAACAAGCGCACTGCTTGATTCAGGCGCTAACGGGATCTTCATAGATCAGGTCTGGGCGGAGCAAATTGGACTCCCCCTTGTAAAATTAGAAACGTCTATTCCCGTCTATAACGTTGACGGTACACTTAACGCGGGTGGCTGCATCATGCACAAATGTTCTTTTGTTGTCGAATACCAAGGACACAGAGAACAAGTCACTGTTGAAGCTACCCAACTAGGGAAGATTAATTCAATCCTAGGCTGGACCTGGCTATTTAAACACAATCCTGAGATCAACTGGCAGACAGGGGTTGTCGCATTGTCACATTGCCCTCAGGAATGTGTAAACTTGGGTAAACCAAATCATGTCCGTCACAATGAGCGTCTCGAAAAGTTAAACGCTGGTCACGTTTACGAGCTCAGATCTTTAGAAAAGATCGACGATGATGATGATGAGGTAAAACCTGAGGAAGAGATTAAGAGGCTGGTACCTCCCGAGTACCACGACTTCTGGAAAGTCTTTTCAAAACACAAATCAGAGCGCTTCCCAGAGGCTAAGCCTTGGGACCATGCTATAGATTTGAAAGACACCTTCAAACCAAGGAAGGGACACATGATACCGCTCTCTGCTCCCGAAAGAGACGAGGTATCTAGTTTCATAGACGAACAACTTAGGAAGGGTTACATCAGACCTTCCAAAAGTCCTATGACGTCCCCGGTGTTCTTCATTCCTAAAAAGGATGGTAAAAAGCGAATGATTATGGACTATCGTTACGTGAATGAGCACACGGTTAAAAATGCGTATCCTCTGCCTTTGATTAGTCAGCTAGTGGACAAATTGGCTGGCGCCAAGATCCTGACAAAGATGGATCTCAGATGGGGGTACAACAATGTACGAATCAAAGAGGAAGATGCTTGGAAGGCCGCATTCACGTGCCACCGAGGATCTTTCGAACCCCTTGTTATGTTCTTTGGGTTGACCAATTCACCGGCGACCTTCCAGAGCATGATGAACGAGATCTTTGCGGATATGGAAAACTGTGTCGTCATTTACATTGACGATTTATTAATATTTACAAAGTCGGACGATGAGGCTGAGCATGACAGGATCGTGCAAGAAGTCCTTCGACGCTTACAGGAACGGGACCTAT